ATTTGCACTCAGTTGCCAGGTCCCGAATGTGGCCATGACCCTGTTATGCCCTGCTCCCGCAACGCGTGCACGCCCAATGAGGGTCATGAAACGCCAGGGCACGAGAATGGTGAGCAGCACGAAGGAGAAGGAGATGGAGGGATGCAGGATACGTAGGTACACGTCGGTCCTTCCTGAGGGGACAGAACCAAGACGAGGAGGAGGGAGACGAGATTGAGTGCAAGCAGGGGGGGATTGGAAAAAGGGGCAGGAGATGTATTCCATGCAGTCCACGCGGCAGATATTCGACCGGCTGGCGCACTCCTCCATCATGCGGTTGAACGAATCCTCCATGGACAAGCTCTTCGACCTCATGACCATGGGGTTCTTCGAGGAGGAGGGAGAGAAGTGCGAAGGGGGATGGTGAGGAGGAGGAGGAGGAGGAAGAGGAGGAGGAGGAGGGAGGAGGAGGATGGGGGAGGGGGATGGGGAGGAGGAAGGAGGAGGAGGAGGAGGAGGGACAGGAGGACGAGGAGGACGAGGAGGAGGAGGAGGAGGAGGAGGAGGGCGGAGGAGGAGGAGGAGGAGGAGGAGGAGGAGGAGGATGAAAGTGAGGGAGATTCGATCAGCATTGTGCCCCTGCTCATCCCCTTCATCTCCGTGTCCCTTGTCCTCGTCTTCGGGGTCCTCCTCCTCCTCCGCCTTCCCGCCTTTCTCGTCCACATTCCCCGCATCATCATCCCTCTTCCACTCATCATCATCCCTCTTCCACTCGCTCCTCCTCTCTCCGCACCCCCGCCTTCCCTTTCTGATGGTTCTCCGTCCTCTCCTGTTCTTGCCGCTGCCGCTCGTCCTATACCCCCTAGTGCGTCCTGTCCTCCATCCCTGCATTCCTTCCCCGTTCTCTCTCTCTCTCTCTCTCCTCATCCTGCTCCCCCACTCCCCTCATCCTCCTCCTCCACTCCGAGAAGCTCCAAAAAGCATTCGAACGTTTCTGACGGCCTCCAGAGCCCTCCGATGTGTTACTCCAGAGCCCTGGAAACTTCCGGAACATCTTAGAACATCTCTTGAATGATTATCCCCCCCTTCTCCCCCTCATACCTCTTCTCCTCCATCCAATGTTCTTCCTCCTTCTCCCTCTCTCCTCCTCCCCCACCCCGCCTCCTCCCCCATCACGGGGACCGCGCGAAGCCTCCGAGAATCATCCGAAATCCCTTGACGGGCTGCAGAGCCTGCCGAAGATCTAGAACGTAGGGGTCTGAGGAAATATAGAGCATAGGGGACAGGGAACAGAGGCTAGAAGCCAGGGGGCAGGAGAGGAAAGAGGAGAGGAAATAGGAGAGGAGAGATGGGAAAGGAGAGAGGAAAGGACAGAGGATTGGACGGAAGAAAGTGAGGAGAACCTGCACCCTAACGGAGGAAACGGAGGAGCAGTTGAACCAAGGCGCAAGCTCTGGGTCGGCCATGAGTGCGCCTGGCCCGAAACCGTTGGACCGCGACCCCACGCACGACGTAGGGGAGGAGACAGAGAAAGAGAAAGGAGATAAGAGAGGAGAGTCGAGGAACGAAATGAAGGGAAGGACAAGGAAAAGGGAAAGAAGGGAAGGAGGAGGAGGAGAAGGAGAACCTGGACCCGGGACGAAGACGATGAAACAGAGGAGAAATTGAACCCAGGCCTAGACCCTGCGTCGGCCTTGGGGCGGCAGGAACGATACCAGTGGATCGCGATTCGATTGATCTTCGGATCTTGTTCTCGTGATCTTCCCCTCTTCGGGGCCTCTGGGGCCCTGGGGGGCATGCCTGGTCTTTTGGGGGGCGGAACGCGATTTGCTGGGTCTCTTGGGGGCGGATCGCGATTCACTTGTTCTTCGGATCCTGTTCTCATTATCTTTCCCTCTTCGGGACATCTTGGGGGCATGTTGGGTGCCTTGGGGGTAGATCGCGATTCAATTGTTCTTCGGATCCCGTTTTCATGTTCTTCCCCTCTCCGGAGCCTTTGGGGGGCATGCTTGGTCTTTTAAGGGCGGATCGCGATTCACGTGTTCTTCGGATCCAGTTTTCATGTTCTTTCCCTCTCCGGGGCCTCTTGGGGGCATGCTGCCTGTTTGGGGGGCCACTTTGTGCGGGAGGGCTCCCAGGGGCCCTTCGGGTTCCCCCCCCCATGGAGGCCCCTCTTGGGCCCCCCGGGGCTCTCTTGAGGGTTGTTGTCGCCGTCTTGGGGTCTCTTTGGGCCGTCTTGGGGCCCCTTTGGGCCGTCTCTGCGCCCTCGCGGCGCCTCGCGGTGGCCTCTGGGGCCGCCTCGGGCCGATATGGGGGCCCGACGCAGACGCCTGACATGGCGACAAGGCGAGCATCGAATGAAAATCCAGGGGCAATCAGTGAACACGGCGCAGCCGCAAGTAGAGGAGAGTTTCCTATTGCATGGGCGCCTCGCCTGGCGTTGTGTGGCATGGCTTGGCGTTGCGCGGCGCTGATTGCCGCCGCTTGGCATTGCGCGGCGTTGCTCGGCATTGCGTGGCGTTGGTTAGCGTTGCTTGGCACGACTTGGCGTTGTTTGGCGTTGCTTGACGTTGCATGGCATTGTGTGGCGTTGCTTGACGTCGCCTGGCGTCGCTTGGCACTGCCTGTAAGCAAGACCGAGGAGCCTGGGGAATTTATTACTAAGGAAGCCGGACCCAGCAACCCGTGGAATGCACTGAGGGAGCAATGCCAGGCAGCCCGAGGAAACCCGACCAAGAAGTTGGAGAAAGCGAACCCTGGTTACGCCACAGGAAGTAAACAAGACCAACCGACCCCGCGGGACGCCACAGAAAGGTGCCAAGACCGACGAACCCCGAGGAACGGCAGCCAGCGCGGGCCTCGCATCCGCCTGTTGTTGCAGAATGCCCGCGACGTGCCCAACCCCTTCTCCTCACAAGGCGAATAGTTGGTTGCATGAGCGCTTTATACAAAAGAACACATCGCCAGCTATGTATGCACGATCTGCGCCGGCCTCATCTCGGCCGTGCCTCCCAGGAGCCCGCACAAGTGGCGACAGGTGCGCAGTGCGCAGCCCCCCCCCCCGGGAGCTGCGAGGTCTCGGCAGGATCCGCGTAGCCCCCGACTCCGCTGGACCTCCCAGGAGCCCACGAAAGTGGCGACACTTGTTGGCTATAGTGGGGTCCCCGACTCCGCCGTGCCCCCCGAGAGCCCACAGAGGTGGTGCTAGTTGTGCGCAGTTTCCAGCCGCCCGGGGAGCAACGAGGCCCGCCTGGGTGCGCGTGGCCCCCGACGCCGCTGGACCTCCCAGGAGCTCACGGCATTGGCGCCAGCTGCGCAGTTGCGCAGCCGCCCACGCTGCCTGGAACCGCGTGTGCCTCCGCTCCACCCCACGAAAGCTGCGAGGGCTGCGCAGTTCACGGCCCCCCCCCGAAGAGCTGCGAGGCCCCGCCGGGCGAACGTGGCGCCAGTTGCGCGGTTCGCAGCCTCCCAGGGAGCTGCGAGGGCCCGCCTGGATCCGCGCACTCGGCGACTCCGCCGAGCCTCCCAGGAGCCCACAGAAGTGGAGACAGTTGCGCAGTTGCCAGCCACCCAGGGAGCAACGAGGTCCCGTCTGGGCGCGCGCGGCCCCGTGGCCCCCAGCTCCGCTGGACCTCCCAGGAGCCCACGGAGGTGGCGACGGTGGCGCAGTTCGCAGCCCCCCCCCCCCGCGGGAGCAGCGAAGTCCCGCCTGGATCCGCGCGTGGCGCCATACCGCTGGACCTCCCAGGAGCCCACGAAAGTTGCGACGCGCAGTTCGCAGCCCCCTCCCAGAGAGTTGCGAGGTCCCGTGTGGATCCGCGTATTCCCCGACTACGCCGTGCTTCCCACCCGGAGGTGCATCGACGAGCTCGTGCCCCCCCCCCACACCCCACGTTCCTCGAATTGGATTTTGGAACCCAGGGTAGGTGGAGAAGGGGAGGCCAATCCTCTCACTCGCATCTTCACCCCAGGCAAGCGGGGGTCGGCGGGACGGGGGAGGCGGGAGGGAAAGGAGAGAGACGCAGCAGGAGCAGGCGGGGCCCACGGCTCGAACTCCGCTGGAACGCGAGCTGCTCGCCTCGACGCACTGCTGCTCGTGCCCGTCTCTGCTCATCCGCGCCCGCCCCCCCCACGATGCAGCAGGCACATGCCATTCGAGATCGGTGCGCCAGCAGGTGCCCCTACAGAGGTTGCTTACGGTCGAGGATATGATCAAGAGACCTCCTCCTCCTCCTCCTCCTCCTCCTCCTCCTCCTCCTCCTCCTCCTCCTCTCCTCCTCCTCCTCCTCTTCCTCCCTCTCCTCCTCCTCCTCCTCCTCCTCCTCCTCTTCCTTCTCCTCCTCCTCCTCCTCCTCCTCCTCCTCCGAACAGCTGGGCCTGCGCTCCTTTTGATCAGCTCGCCGGAGCGCTGGCCGAGTTTCTTGATCGCGCTCGCCCCATCCAGCGCTCACAGCAGACAGTGGCTCAGGCTTGTTGGGAGAAGAAGCCTCTGGGAAGCTGGCCCGGCTTTCTTCAACTATAATTGTCTTGATCGCATTTTCGTCTGTATCCCCCGATGGCCCCAGGGACCCACGGAAGCCCCAGGGTACAGCAGGCGCCACGCACATGGACGAAGAATGCGCCCCAGGATTTCGTATCGCGAGATCTCCGATCGAACGTGCGTACTGTGCAGGTCTCCAGGGGAAGGCCCACGCTCCACAAAAGTCCAGCGGTCCTCCGAGACCTGCCCCCGCCCTGACGTCCACCGAGGCGTGTTGCTCCCATCCGCGGCGTGGCCCCAGATTCGTCTCGGCTGTCCCGGGGCCGCGTGGGGGGTCACTGTCAGGTCGGGTCGAGGCTGGCCTGCGTAGGCTACAGTCAACCCGCATAGTAATACGGGGCGTTAAAACGACCAGAGCCACTGCTTTTCTTCTGTTGCCGCCTTCCAGCCCGCAGAAACACAGCAGTGGTTGTGGTCATTTTCGTCGAGCTTGGCACCAGGGAAATGACCACAGCCACTGCTTCTTTTTCGGCCGGCTGGAAGGCGGCGCAAACAAGAAGCAATGGCTGTGGTCATTTTCCCGTCCCGCATAGTAAGGATGGGCAACGTTTCCAAGGGTACCCTTGAAATCCTTACCTCCTCGGTCCATCCGTGGCCGCTTTCGCTGGCCAATCTCGCTCGAAAAACGTTCACGTGGCCCTCCAAGGCCCTCGCATCCTTACCGCGCACCCTTACTGTACGGGTTGACCGCAGCTTGTCTCGTGGCTTCATGCACTGCCAGAAGTATCAGCTGATGCAGGCCAGGCGTGCCTGCTGGCCTGCGCCGCGGCCACGTGACACAAATCTGTGATGTCCCAGGGGCCCGTGATCGGGCCCTGGAGGCCGACATCGAGGAAAAACGCCCAGATCTCGAGTAGGGGATCGACTGCAGAGCTGATGCCCCCCAACATTGGCTTCTGAGTGGAACCTGCAGTAGGGAAACGCGGAATCGTCGTAGATCTGCGAAGATCACGCGCAGTTTCGGCAGACTCGACCAACAAAACTAGGGCACATCTATTCCGCAGCCCTCCCCCTACCCGAGGGTAAAAACAACATGCCGTCGGCGACCCGGGCCCGCCAGGTTCAAGTACCAGATCCTCTCTTGCGCGGAGCCCCAGCAGCTGGTCGAGATCACCCAGAACCACCTCGAGAACCTGCACCGGCTCGTGGGCGCGACGCCTCAGCTGCCGGAGCTGCTGAACGAGTGCGTGAGACAGGCGCGCCCGGGCGTGCCCTCCCCCATCGTGCAAGGCGGAGGAGGAGGAGAGGGGGGGGGGGGGGTGCACAATCCTTCGCTGAGGGTCCCTCAGCGATTGCCATGCTGTCCCTCGGAGAGGGCCTGAACCTGAGAAGGGTCTGGGGCAGATGAGCTGGTAGTGGATGGGGGGTCCCTTGTTTGTGCCTACATCGTCAGGACATCCTGGCCAACCTCCACTGTGGTGAGCCTCTCACTTTTCTGCTCTGCTTCGTCTCTCTTCTCACCTTCCGGCACTCTGCCACACCTTTCTGAGGTGCACGTGGTTCTCCCTAGGATGTCCCTTGCTTGCCCATGAGAGTCATCTTGCACGACGCTACGAGTTTCACTCAAAGCTTGCCCAACGTCAAAAAATGGAGAGGGGGGGAGTCGGCACCACCGCACCACCCAAACGTACGGTAGGTTCGTGCGGCGTTGGCGCGCCGGCGACGCAGGCGTTCAAGGTTGAATTCTGCGACGCGGGAGCACCGATCGGCACGGTAACGCCATTGGACCGAACGATCGGCGTCGCGATCGATTCCACCTTGAACGATCGACGCGGTGTCGAAAACCTTTTGCGCGCGCCGACGCCGCACGAACCTACCGTACAGTCGGGGCGCTGAAGAAGGAACCCTTTTCGTTGGGGAGGGGTTCCGTGTTCCTCAATTGTTTCACAGCTTGCCCCAGGTTTTGCTTATGTTTTCGACGGGAAATCAAAGTTCAACTGATGGAATAAAAAAGGGGCCTCGTTCCTTATTTAGGGTTCCTTAGGTCAGCGCCCCGACTGTACTCGTGCACGCAAGGCCACACGCACCGGCCACGCAAGGGCGGCGCGCACGCCCGGAACTCCTGCAGTGTGGGCTCCGCGGCGGGCGCTCCTTGGTCATGCCGCTCGTGCATCTTACACTCTCTGTGCGGGCCGGACGTGCGCCTCCAACGGAGGCACACAGCAGCAGTATGCCCTCATGCGTCCCGGAGAGGAGGAGGAGGAGGAGGAGGAGGAGGAAATGGAGGAGGAGGAGGAGGAGGAGGAGGAAGTGGAGGAGGAGGAGGAGGAGGAGGAAGAGGAGGAGGAGGAGGAAGAGGAGGAGGAGGAGGAGGAGGAGGAGGAGGAGGAGGAGGGAGGAGGGAGGAGGAGGAGGAGGGAGGGAGGAGGAGGAGGAGGAGGACGGATGTGCCAGGCCCCAGGCGCAGCGGGTGCCGCGTGGGCCCTCGAGCGCCTGCCTCGGCGCGGCGTGCCTGCCGTGACGGCCTTCGCCCGCTCCGTGCCGCTGCCTCCCGCCGCCTCGCCGCTCTTCGCGACGCTGGGCTTGGGCGAGCAGGCATAAGCATTACAGCCGGGGCCCTGGAGAAGGAGCCCTTTCGGGAGCCTTGAGACGGGGGTCAATGCAAACGGGGGTCAGCCAGGGCGCCAGATCCTGCAGGATCCTGCAAAGGCCCCCTCTGGCTGACCCGGGTCAGGGAGCCGCTCGTGGCCGCGAGGCGGCCGCGCGTATTGGCTGACCCGGGTTTGCGAAGACTTGCGTTGCAGTTTTTGTTTTCCTGCATTGCAGTTTTTGGTTTCCCGCTGACCCGGGTCTGGATTGACCCGGGTCAGAGGATCCCCGACCCTTTTCGTTGGGGAGGGGTTCGGTGTTCCTTGATTGTTCGACAGTTTGCCTTCTGTGTTCCTCAGGTTTTTCATGGGAAATCGAAGTTCAACTCATGGGAGAAAGGGGCCCGTTCCTTATTTAGGGTTCCTTAGGCCAACGCCTCGACTGTATTCGAACAACAGGCGAAACTACAGAAGCGCGCACGCAGGCTGGCCGCGAGAGGAGAGCACCCTGATGGCCCCGAAGGCTCCCAGAGTGCCCACGGAGGGTGCCAGCATGGCCCCAAAAGAGGGTGCTCGTGTGGATCCTGGCCTCGGTTTGACGGTTTGGGCTTCGGGCGTTGGGTTCGTCCTGTGGGGCCTGCGGTGGGGCCCTCGCCGCCACAGCTGGATCCGCTTCGGAGTTCCGGTCAGGCCGCAGACCTCGACGAGTCCTGGGGCCGAGTTTGGCTTCCACCCGGACCCTCGCTCGCCGCGGCAAAAACCACGGCGGCCCGTCGCGAGGGTGGGGGGGAGGAGGGGGGGAGAGGGTGGGGGTGGAGAGTTGGGGGGAGTGGAGAGGGGGAGAGGGCTGGGGGCGAGCGCTTTGGTGGGGTTCCGCCGGCTGCGCCTCGTCGACGGATGTCGACGGGCCTCCGGTGATCCAGGGCAGGAGGCGTCCCGAGCGGTCTCTGGCGGTCCGAGGCCTGCTCCGAGCGCCGAGCTGCAGGCGGCAGCGGAAGGCGGGAGGACGCCTCGCCTTCTTGCCCTCCCGCCCCCCCCTTCCGCCAGCCCTGCACCTTGAACTCGCCCGAGGCGTCAAGGTCCCGACAAAGAGCAGCTCGGGGTCCTCCCCCTCCTCCTCCTCCTCCTCCTCCTCCTCCTCCTCCTCCTTTTCCTCCTCCTCCTCCTCCTCCTCCTCCTCCTCCTCCTCCTCCCACTCCTCTTCCTCCTCCTCCTCCTCCTCCTCCTGCTCCTCCTCCTCCTCCTTCTCCTCCTCCTCCTCCTCCTCCTCCTCCTCCCTCCTCCTCCTCCTCCCCCTCCTCCTTCTCCTCCTCCTCCTCCTCCTCCTCGTCCTCCTCCTCCTCCTCCTCCTCCTCCTCCTCCTCCTCCTCCTCCTCCTCACGTCTGGGGTGCGACCCTGCAGCGACTCGGCTCCGAACTCCAGAGGCCCTTTGTGCGAGGCGGGGATGTCTCCATCACCACCGCCTGGGAGATCGCTCTTCGTGGCCTCGGCAGGCGGTGGACATGGATACGTTCGGGCCCTGGGGTGGCCACAGATATTCACATCGACCGCCTGCCGAGGCCCCCAAAGATCGCCCGGCCCACCCCCCCACCTAGGCGGTGGAGTTGGAACAAAAGTTCCCGCCTCGCACTTTGCCTCGCAAGAGTCGAGCCCCCGAGGTCTGGGTAGGGTCAAGTCGGGCGTGTCCCTCTACAGGAGGAAAAATCCCAAATAGTAAAAAATAGTATGGGGACGATCTGTTGACTATTGTTTTGCTATGTTTGAAAATTTTCAGGGTATGTTTGTGTCGTCCAAAATCCCCCTGTAGGGGGACATGCCCGACCTAAGGGTAGGGTCGAGAATCGAGAATCCATACGGCCGGGAACTTTTGGATAGCGCGTCGATCCGCCGGTTCTGGCCCGCCGCGCCTCCGCGCGACACGCTGTCCACTTCCCGGTCCCTGAGCTTCAGCGCCCCCAGCTTTCCCGAGCCCCATCCCCCCGGAGCGGAGCGACGCGCTATCCGCTCGCAAGGCGTCGAAATTCTTGACGCTCCGCGTCACCCCACCAGAAGATTCTCGGACCCACCTTCAGCCCAACTGCGCGCGGCATACGTTCTCGACTGCATAGCCGGCTGGCTTACGCAAGTCGCTTGTCTGAAGTCTGGCGCCACAATGGCGACTCACTTCATCGGCCTTCCCATTTTCACTGGGCACAGAGACCTGCCCACTGTGGTAAGGTGCTCGCGCCCGTCATGCGTTGGCCACTCGAATTTGGTCATTTTGTCCAGTGCACGTGCCCGTGCTAACAGTATGTCAGCCAGCTCTGGCCGGCCGCGTTCTGTTTTTGCAAATTAGCCTCGCCCGCGGCCCGGACGTTGCCATCGCCACATGACCGCTGTCTTCGTGGCCGCTGACCCAAAAAAGTAACCCCACCAGAGTTTTGGCTGCCCTGAGCTCCGTCCCGCTCTGTGCTCGACGCTGCTCACCGTTCTGTTTTTTCTTTAGCGTGTGGCACGGCCTGCCCCTGCTTGCACGGCGCTCGACCCGCTTCGCGCGCCCGCGTACCAAAAAAAATTACCCCACCAGCCCATCCAGAGACGATGCCCAGAGGAGTTGCCTCGATCAGGGGAGTGGACAGCACACAGAGGAAGGGTCCCTCTTGGAGCGCTCTTGGGCGCCTCGGGGAGCCTCTTGGGGCCTCTAGGGGATCTCGTGGGGGCCTCTTGTAGGCCTCTTGAGCGCCGCTCGGCTCTTGGGGCCCTTTTGAGGCGGTCTTTGGAGCCTTGGGGGCGCTTTTGGGGCCATCTTGGAGGGGATCGATCAAAACGATGGGAACTCTAATTACGACCCCCCCTCCAGGAGCCCCAAAAATCGCCTCTTGGGGCGCTCTTGGAGCTCTCCTGAGCGCTCTTTGGGCCGTCTTGGGGTTCTCGTGGACCTTTCTTGGGGCCGTCATGGACCCTTTTGAGGCCGTCTTGAAGCCTCAGAAGGCCATCGGAAGCGAAAAAGCGAGAAGGCAAAATTCATTATTGTCCTTAGGTGTTTGGAAGATGTGGGCCTCTTGGCGGCCGCCTGGGTGGGTTCCGTGGCCATTCGGAGCCGTCTTGGAGCGGTCTTGGGGCCTCTTGGAGGATCTCGGGGTTATATTGAGCCATCTTGGATTGTCTTGGGCAATGTTGGAAGTCATCTTGGGCTCTCTTAGGCCCTCCTAAAGCCATCTTGGGCCATCTTGGACGCTCCAACGCCTCGCGGACCCCCCCTCTAGGTCCAGGGAAAGGGGGCAGAGGGAGGGGGCAAGCTACACACCCGCCCGTAGGCCGCTCAGCTCACTCCCACCCGCTCTCCCAATACAAAAGTATCACCCGAGCCTGAGCATGTTCAGCGGTCGTCTTTGGATGGGCAGCTACGTACCTGGAACCAAAGCCGACCCCAGGTGCGCGACGCCTGGGCGATGTGCGCCATGCGTGCCAGGGGCGCCACGCGCGCCAGGCACCTCTGGGGCCCGAGCGTGCCAGGCACGCCTGGTGCGCCAGATGCGCCACGTGCTCCGAGTGCGCCAGGGGTGCCGCACACTCCAGCCGCGCCAGGTGCGCCATATTCGGGGCACGTGCAGAGTGCGTCAGTGCGCCGGCGCACGTGACAGCACACATCGGGAATTTTGCTGGCCCCCGCCATCCTTGTCGAAAACCGATGCCCGTCATTGTGTCTGGTGGGCCTGCGCGCGGCAGACCACGCGCCACCACCGGAGCCAGCGGCGAGCCCACGTCTGGAGTCTCGGGGGCGGCAGCAGGTGCTGGCGGCGTGGACGCCAACGCCACGGGCCCCAGCGGAGCTGCAGGTGCGAGTGTGCGTGTGGCCGAGCGCCTGCGCGCCGAGGCCGCAGCTGGCCCCCAGGCAGCGCCCGTCGGCGGGGACAGCATGTCTGGGGCCAGACGCGGGCCCACGCCCGAGGTTTCGGGGGCGGTGGCGGGCGGCCGAGGCGCAGAGGCCCGCGTCAGCCTCCTGGCGGCCTACGGGCTGAGCGAGGCCGAGCTGGCCGCCAGCGCCCAGGCCGTTGCCAGCGCGGTCGAGCGCAGGCGCGTGCGCCGCCGCACGGACCGCCACGGCGCCAGGGCCGAAGCGAGCGATGATTGAAACAGTTTGATATTTTCTTCCATCGGTGCATCTCGTCGAGCTGTGAGTCTGTAGTTCCATCGCTGCTCACCTGCTCGCCTCGAGTGTGTGGCTCGGACATGTCGTGCTGTGTCGGCGTCCTTTTGATTGAGGGGTGGGCTCGGCGTCTGGGGGGGCCCTACGTCTAGCCTGTCGGCTGGCCCGCCTCCGCCTGCCCCGGCCCTTTCGGGCCGCCCCGTTTTTGCTTATACTGGAGGGCTCCTCCTTGTTGCCTTTAGGGCCCCGACCTTCACCTTTCACCTGCCCCTGTCAAAAACCACGGGATGGCCGCGCGCGATCCAGATTCAGCCGCGGGGTGCATGCTGTATTGTTTTTTTTTGTGTCGGGGATGGTAGCCTTGCGCGCAGCAGGGAATATGCTGACACCCCCGCCGTACCTGTCAAAAACAATACAAAGTGCTCGCGGGCCTCACGAATATGACTCAAAACTTTGCCTCAAAGTGTAAGTTTCACGGATGTTGAGGGTGGGCGCATCGGGTTGGTCGCTCATACTCCAAATGTGGAGGCAGAGTGCGGTTTGTATTTTTTGTCCAGAGGGATGTTGGGGGCGGGCCCCCATGGAGTCGGCATGGTTCTGGGTTGGCCGCTGGCCGGGTAGGGGATGGGGTGTACTCTTCTAAAGAGTAGTGATTAACCCATCCCCGAAGGGGAAAAAGGGGGTTGGAAGAGAAAGCTCTCGAGACCACCTACGCCAGCCTCACAAGGCCCACCAGGGACCTCCCAAGACCCTGCGGCGGCGACGCCGGCGCGGGCGCTCCTCGAGGTGGGAGGCCACTGGCGGCGCGCTGCGCGGTGCAGAACGACCCGAGGATGGAGGATATTCGGGCCGGACGAAAAGGGGGGGATTAGGAAAGGGGGGGGTTAGAAATTTGTTGCATGCAGCTGGTTTCGGCCCCACCGAGGGGCCCATTCCTCGATACATAGCCGCCTCCGGCGCCGGGAGGCGCCGGAAAAATCAGCTACGTGAGCTGATTCTCAAACCGCCCTTTTGCTATCCCCCCCTGTCGCCTGGCCCGAGATATGAATTGTGGGATTTTCTAAGGTTCTGGAGGGATTCTTGGGACGGAGGGGGTTCCAGCCAGGTCGGATGTAGCCAGGAGCCTGGGCACAGGGAGCCGGCTGGTGCTTGGGCCCCGAAGCCCCAAGAAGGGGCCGGGATTACTGAAGCAGGTCTGCCGTGGTTGGTGTTGTTTTCGGGAGGCGGCAATTCCGGTCACTGGAATGGGGAGGGGGGGGCGTCCCCCGGTACACATCACCAGACCAGGTCCCATTAGGCCCAGTCGTGGGCATCCGCTTCGTCTTATAAGCACATATTCCCATGATAATGTGTAATAATATGTGGCAAATGAAATGGAGGGTAAGAGGAATAGCCATGAACTATGTTTGGCAAATCGTTCAGGTATCGTAGTGTTTCTGTGTGTGTGTGTGTCCGTGTGTGTGCGTGTGTGCGTGTGTGCGTGTGTGCGTGTGTGCGTGTGTGCGTGTGTGCGTGTGTGCGTGTGTGCGTGTGTGCGTGCGTGTGTGTGTGTGTATGCGTGTGTGCGTGTGTGCGTGTGTGCGTGTGTGCGTGTGTGCGTGTGCGTGTGTGCGTGTGTGTGTGTGTGTGCGTGTGTGCGTGTGTGTGTGTGTGTGCGTGTGTGTGTGTGTGTTGTGTTGTGTTGTGTTGTGTTGTGTTGTGTTGTGTTGTGTTGTGTTCTGTTCTGTTCTGTTATGTTATGTTCTGGTCTGTTCTGTTATGTTCTGTTATGTTGTGCTGTGTTGTGTTGTGTTGTGGTGTGGTGTGTTGTGTTGTGTTGTGTTGTGTTGTGTTGTGTTGGGCTGGGCTGGGCTGGGCTGTGTTGTGTTGTGTTGTGTTGTGTTGTGGTGTGGTGTGTTGTGTTGTGTTGTGTTGTGTTGTGTTGTGTTGTGTTGTGTTGTGTGTGTATGTGTTTGTGTGTGAGTGTCAGTGTGAGTGTGAGTGTGAGTGTGCGTCGTGCGTCCATTTATTTAATCGTTTCGCTCGTTCCGCCGGACCTGGAGCGCTCTTAGGAGCCTCTTGGGGGCCTCTTGGGGCTCCTTGGCGGCGTCTTGGGGGCCCATGGGGCCTCTTGGGGGGCTCTTGGGGGCCTTTTGGGGCAGGAGAGGGAGGTAGTTGATTGCGGCTCCCCCCTCGGAGGCCACGATCCTCGTGAGGGGTGTCGAAAAATGGCCCTCCCCTGGGGCGTTCTGGGGGGGTCGCCCGAGAGTGGACCGGGACCTTGCTGGGGTACTTTTCGTCCGGGGGCCCCCAGGGGCCGCCCCGCGCGTGCGAACTAAAAATATTGTTAACCAGTTACCTGAGACCTTAACACGCCTCTGGCCCGTTGGGCCGGCGAATTGGTGTCCCCCTGGGCCCTGTATCCTCCGTCCCCCCCACACCCAGGCGTCGCGAAGAAGACATCGCCATGCTTCTCCCGCCCCAGAGTTCTCGGCGTCCCCGGGGCAGTTTTTCTTCGACCTCGGGAGCCATGACCAGGAAGATGAGCGACGACAGAAGTGGCCCTCAGGGGATCGGGCGGAGAGCTCGAGGCACCCACGTTTCTCGGAGGATGCCAACCAATACACCGACACAGATCCGGGCCATGCCGACCCTGGGCCCGGGATCTGCACATACGCCCCCCCGACCAAGCCAAGAGGGAGGAGGAGGAGGAAGAGGAGGAGGAGGAGGAGGAGGAGGAGGAGGTGTACACCAACATGTGTATAGTGTATATGTACATCTATTAAGCGCTCTGTCAACGTTGCGCGTTGCGCGACATGCACGACTTTGCAGGTCTGGATGCTGCCTCCCGCCGCGGGCCACGATGAGGACCTTGGGGACGGGCGCACGGGCACAGGTGCAACTGTCGTACCAGCACATGCCCCTGGCGGACATGAACGCCATGAGGCGGCAGTGGGGGGAAGGGGAGGGGGAGGGGAGAGGGGAGGGGAGGGAGAAGAAGGAAGGGAGGGTGCGGGGCGTGGAGGGAGGGAAGGAGGGAGGAGGAGGAGGCGGCGGAGGCGGAGGGGAACGAGAGGGAGAGAGAGTGCAAGAGAGAGAGCGAGGAGGAGGAGGAGGAGGAGGAGGAGGAGGTGGAGGCGGAGGCGGAGGCGGAGGCGGAGGAGGAGGGCCACAAGACCTCCCGCTCTGAGGAGGTGGCTGCACGACGACGTTCGACCGCCACGGGTCAGGTCAGGTCAGGTCAGGAGGAGGAGGAAGAGGAAGAGGAGGAGGAGGAAGAGGAGGAGGAGGAGTAGGAGGAGGAGTGGGAGGAGGAGGAGGAGGAGGAGAAGGAGAAGAAGGAGGAGGAATGGGAGGAGGAGGAGGAGGAGGAGAATGAGGAGGACGACAAGGACGCCGAGGACGAGGAAAACGAGGACGAGGAGGAGGAGGAGGAGGAGGACGACGACTACGACGACGAGGGGGGCGGTGGTCGTGGACGCCACGAGGCAGATGCTCTGCACCTTCTTCCAGGACCGCAAGGTCAAGGTCGCCCTCTTCCTGAACGACAAGTCCCAGAATTCCGACGGCTCGCTCGTGGTAAGGAGCCGATGCCCCTTCTCTATCATGACGAACGAAGAACACAAAAACATCCATACCGATAGTGGAGACGGAGGGGGAAGGACTGTCTACGGGTATGGGTGCGGGTTGTCGAACCTTTGGGGAGGCTCCCGTTCGAGCGGGGACCCCTATCCGACAACACGCACCCATAGCTCATTCCGTCCCCCCTATGGGTATGGGTGCGTATTGATCACTCGTCATATCATGCCGTTCACAGATCTCCGACGACTTGTTTTTTCCATCGGGGCGTTTCTCCCAAGTTTCTGTTAGGGGGGGGGCCCGTTACCGGGTCCCGAGACAATGGAAAACGGATCCAGGGCGACAAACGTCCCCCGGGGAAGCAGTCGGGACCTCTCCGGGCCGCGGATCAGAAACCGACTGTGCGCTTGCTGCCGCTACTGGCAAGCCCCCCACCCCCCCCGATTCGACCCGGGGAGGGGGAGGGAGTAAAAACAGCCTCCCACTCCGAACCGGCGGAGGAGAGGCGGTCCTCCCCCCCTCACCACGGGTTGGGACCAGGGGGGGGAGGAGGGGAGAGCTTCTTCCCCGACGGGTAAGGGCATTCCCTTCGAGGGGGGAAGGGAATGCCTTAAGTCCCCCCTTAAGGAAATCCCTTCCCTTTAAGGGATTCCCTTCTCTCCCCCTCCCCAGCTTCAACAGGGGGGGGAATTCACCACCACCCCTGTTGGAACCGGGGAGGGGCGGGGGTGGCCTTCTCACCTGGCGGAAATCGACGCTGAAGAAAGGACGGACGGGCTAATTGTCCGTGTTGTGCCAGGGAGCCTCGCCCGCATCGCTGGCAACAAGGGCAAGCAAAGCGAAAACAAGGCCCAAACAAAGCTCACATACATCTTGAACAAAGCTCACACTAAGCTCAGACAAAGCTCACACAAAGCTCAGACAGAGCCTAAACAAAGCTCAGCCACAGCGCAAAAAAAGCTCAAACAGAGCTCAAACAAAGCTTCAACAAAGCGCAAACAAAGCTCCGACAAAGCTCAAGCAATGCTCCAACAAAGCTCCACCAAAGCTCAAGCAATATTCAAACAAAGCACCAACAACAAAGCTCAAACAAAGCCCACATCAAATTCAAGCAATGCTCAAACAAGGCTCACACAAAGCTCTAACAAAGCTCTAACAAACGCAAACAAAGCAACAAAGCGTCACAAAGCTCAAACAAAGCTCAATCAAAGCTCAAACAGAGCTTCCACAAAGGTTGAACAAAGCTCAAGCAAAGCTCAAGCAAAGCTACAGCACAGCTCAACAAAGCTTGAACAAAGCTCAAGGAAAGCTCATGATCTGTTCGAGTTTGGGGCGGGGAGGGGCCAGGCTAGTTCCTCCTCCCTCCCAGTTCGAACCAGGGCGGGTTGGGAGAGTCTGTGTCCACCTCCACCCTTCCCCGGTCCGAACCGGAGGATGGAGGTTCTGCCCCCCCCCCCGGCTCCAGGTTTCCGGACAGGGCCCCCCCCCAAGTTCCTGGGTAGGGGGGAGGAAACGTTCCCTCCCCCACTTTCCCCCCCAGTTTCCCGGAGGGAAGGGGGGGGGGGGATGTTTCCAGTCCGGCGACGGTAGATCGCGCTCCTTCAAAAAATAGGATCGGCGCTTTTTCGGGGGGGCTCCTGCAACCGGGGTACATGGATGCTCCTCCGCCTGACTTGTGAAAAAGAAAACCCGGTCAGCAGAGCGCCAGGGGGCCGTCGAAAGGCCTCTCGAAAGATCGAGAGAGCTCTGGAAGCTTCTGGAAGGAGCTCCCGGAGGAGCTCCTGGAGAGCACCTGGGCGGACGTGTTGGGAGATCTCTATGCGTCTCCTCTTCCTTCTCCGTCCCCGCCCCCGGGGCCCCGGGCCTTCGTATGTTCCTCGCGCTCTCCTTCTGCGAGCAGCGTAGGGGCGGTTCCTCGCCATAGGTTGTGGTCTCTGTGCTCGCGCGCACACGTGGGGCGCGTTCCTCAGGGGCAACGATGCCCGTCGGCCGTTGAGCGTAGGTATCCCAGACGCGGTCCCACAGCAGAAAGCGCGTGAGCCCGGTCGGCTCGGCCCAGAGAGGCCTGGAGTGTCCTGGCCGCCGGTCTTCCACGGCCTCCTGCCGCTCCGGCAGGCCGTTCGCAGCCCTCCCAGATCCCACCGCGCAGGCGCAGCACCAAAAGGCATTCCAGGATCGGCGGCGAGCCAGGGGGGGAAGTTTCGGGCTCGAGGTTCGAGGCTTTTCGGACGTCTTCGTCGGTTTTCGGCGGTTTCTTTTCGGCCTCGCGATGCTTCCCAGCAGCTGCGCCCTGCCGAGGGCGTCCAGGGGGTGCCTGCATCGTCCCGAACGGCCGCTGGATACCCGAGATATGACCCAAAAACCAAAAGTCGGTGGCGAGCGAAGGGGGGAAGTAAGAAGGAGAAGGCCTTCTCAGAAGGCGGCGGGACTTCTCAGAAGCCCTGACGCCTTCCAAGAAGTCGTTTCTGTCTTCGGGGAAGGCTCAGAGATCTGCTCAGAAGGCCATGGGACTTCCGAGCCTTCTGAGGAGGCCTTCTTCTTCTCATTTCCCCCCTCGCTCGCCGCCGACGGGGTGATTCCGACAAGATCTCGGAATAGGCGACGTCTTGAGGACTCGTCTGCAATGTCCTGGCGCGCTCTTCCCGAGATGTTCGGCGGACGCTCCCCGGAGCTCTCTGCACCCGTCGGGGGAGTCTCGGAATTGCCTTGGGGCTGTCTTGGGGATGGGCCCCCTGGGGCCCTCTGGGGCCATCTTTCGGCCCCCGTGGAGCCTCCCAACGCGCGCCGCACTCCAGGCCGCTCGCAGCTGGGCAGCTGGCCCCGGACGTGACAGCAGGAAGGCCTTCTCTCTCGTACATAAGTATCCTCCTCCACCGATCTCCAGCCGAAACTCTTGGGAAGCGGGCACCGCTGTTAAACCATAGTCAACCTGCATGGCAAGGATGGGCAACCTTGCCAAGAGTGCCTTGCATCCTTGCCCACTCGGTCCATCCTTGGCCACATTCGTTGGCCAACCTCGCTCGAAAGACGTTCACGTGGCCCTCCAGGGCCCTTTGCATCCCTGCTGCGCATCCATTCGATACAGTCGGGGCCCTGAAGAAGGAACCCTTTTCGTTGGGGAGGGGCTCCGTGTTCCTTAATTGTTTCGCAGCTTGCCTGGGATTTTCCTTATGTTTTCGATACGAAATCGAAGTTCAACTCATGGAAAATAGGGGCCTCGTTCCCTATTTAGGGTTCCTCAGGTCAACGCCCCGACTGTACGTGTTGACTGCAGCTGCCGTGTGCAGGCGCCTGGCTCAAGCCACCCGCTTGTGCGCGACCTCGAGGCGCCGCGCCCCGGCAGCCGTGCTGCAGCAGGCCGCGGTGTGGGGCAGGGGCAGGGCGACCTCGCGCCGCTCGCCGGCGAGGCCGACGGGGCCCAGCGGGCCAGCACTCGTTTGACGGGTCAACCTTCCACCACCGCCACCACAAGCAGAGCGGGGGAGAGGGAGGATGGGGAGGTCTTCCTCCTCCTCCTCCTCCTCCTCCTCCTCCGCGTCCTGCTCCTCCTCCTCCGCGTCCTCCTGCTCCTCCTCCTCCTCCTCCTCCTCCTCCTCCTCCTCCTCCTCCTCCTCCTCCTCCTACCTATGGTAGTGGTGGTGGAACCTCGGCCCATCAACTCTCGCCCAACGCATCGTCCAGGCGGGGCGTGGAGGATCGAGGAAGGAAAAGCTGCATGAGCACAAACTCTTCGTGCTCCCTGCGGATTTCTTGGATCGGCGCCGGGGCCCCCCTGGCACGCTCCGCGCACCAGGGAAGGGGGTTAAGCGCAGCTCCAGGCGATCCGCACGGAGATCCGCGCGGATCTCGCCTTCTCCTTGGAGAGTCTTGCGCCATCTGGGTCGACCAGGACTGGGGCTGCGCCGTGCTGCAGGCCGAGTACCGCTGCGACTGCGGGGGCTGCTCCAAATGCGGATCGTGCAAGCCAGACCGCCACGGGAACGTCTGCGAGCTCTGGGGGACCATGGGCTACCCCTGCAGCGATCTGACCAGCTATTGTGCGTGCGACTGCGAGAACTGCTTTTGCAGCGGCAGCGGAGGTGGTGGCACTCCTGCGCCACCCCCCGCGCAGCCACAGGGTTCGGACAGTGGCTGCCTCAGGGCGACGCAGAAAGACGGGTTCGACTGTGCGGACATTCGCGCGTAAGTTGTCCTAGCTGGGACGCGCGTAGGCTCCATTGTTTACAATGTAACGTGCCGCGCTGGCGGCCCGCGTCAGCCAGGGATTTTTATTCTACCAGGCGCTCTGGGTAACCAGCCAGCAGCTTGCGACTGGGATATTTTTTCAGGCGCTCTGGGTGACCTTCCGGCGACAGCGTCGCCTCTTCAGACTGGCCTGAGTCTAAATAGCTATGGCCCTCCCTCCTACCAGAACGCGCGCATGAGCAAGGAAGGAGGGGGAAGGAAGGTACTGCCTGACTGCGCCGTCCCTCGTTCCAGGACGCATGGTGGGACAGTCCACAGTTTCACCATTCGTCTCACCCCGTCTCATCGCATCGTCGTGCGCTGCCCCTGTTTCATTCCGTGGTTGCACCGCATGCTTTGCGAGGGGCGATGGCTTACGATCAGAAGATCAGCCGCAGCACACAGTTACCGTGCCCAGAGCGCCGTCTCAGCAAATCATGGCGGGACTCTTCACTTATCGAGAGATGCCTGCACGCGTGCATCGCGGCTGGTCAGTTGAGCGCCCTCTCTTTACGCCGGGGCGCCGCCAGAGGCGGCTCGACCTTTCCCATCTTCGACCCCTGCTCCACCGCTTTTTCTTTTTCCTGATTGTCTGGTTTTCTCTCCCGTCCCGATCCCCTCCTCCCCCTCCTCCCCCCCGCCCCCACTCGCCCATCTGTCCAGGGCACACTGTCTGGGACCCCCCGATTCCACTAAGCGTCTCGTCTCGTCCAGTCGCATCATCGCGCACCGTCCCTGCTAGTTCCATGGTTGCGAAGCAGCTGTGTGAGGGGCACTTGTTGTCTACCAGGAAATTGGCCGCAGCATGCCTTGACCTTGCCTGGTGCGCCTCGAATCATTTAGCAACACGTTTTAATGGGTCTTGTGAGCAGGGTGCATGACTTTGCGGGCGGGGGGCAGGAGTGAGGAGAGAAGGGATAGGGAGTTGCCAGACATGTCCCTGGCCCCAGGTGTTCCCAGCACTTCCACGGAGGCCCCCGCGGCATCCAGGGTACCCTTCACCAGGCCCAGAGGGCCCCAGGGGCTCCAAGATGCAGCGAAACGCTGGGGGCACCTTGGGCGAGGGACGTCTACAGCAACCCCCAGGGTGGGGGGTGGGGGGGAAAGGCAGAGCGGGGGGGTGAGAGCGAAGAAGCGAGGCAGCGAGCGAGGGGCGACCCAGACCGAGACGCTGGGGGCACCGTGGGCCAGCCAGGGACGTCTGCAGCAACCCCCGGGGCCTCCTCCCCCCTCCTCCTCCTCATCCTCCTCCTCCTCCTCCTCCTCCTCCTCCTCCTCCCCCCTCCTCCTCCTCCTCCTCCTCTCCTCCTCCTCCTCCTCCTCCTCCCTCCTCCTCCTCCCCCTCCCTCCTCCTCCTCCTCCTCCTCCTCCTCCTCCTCCTCCTCCTCCTCCTCCTCCTCCTCCTCCTCCTCTCCTCCTCCTCCTCCTCCTCCCCCTCCTCGTCGTCCTCCTCGTCGTCCTCCTCCTCCTCCTCCCTCCTCCTCCTCGTCCGCGTCCCCCCTCCTCCTCCTCCTCCTCCTCCTCCTCCTCCGCGTCCTCCTCCTCCTCCTCTTCTCCCCCTCCCGCTCCCCTCCTCCTCCTCCTCCTCCTCCTCCTCCTCCTCTCCTCCTCCTCCTCCTCCTCCTCCTCCTCCTCCTCCCCCTCCTCCTCCTCCTCCTCCTCCTCCTCCTCCTCCTCCTCCTCCTCCTCCTCCTCCTCCTCCTCCTCCTCCTCCTCCTCCTCCCCCTCCCCCTCCCCCTCTTCCTCCTGGGTGCCGCTTACCCTGGCAGCGCTGCAGGGGTTCGGCTGCCCTGTTACGCCCGTGCCGAGACGCAGCACGCACCGCGCCCAACGCGTTCGTGCCAGCAAGCTGCGTTTTGGCTCCACATGTTGGCCCACGCTTTGGCGAGCGCGTCGCACCAGGGTTACGTCGCACCGACTTAACACCAGGCATGCGTTTCAACCTCCGCGTTGAGCTCCGCTTCCGCATGCTGCGGGCTGCGCGTTCCGCACCGGAGCAGCTACGGATCGGAGTTATGGCCCCATATACTCGAGGCTCGCGGCGTGTCGACGCGGCGGCGACCCCGCCGCGGACGTTCAAGGTTGAACGCCGCCATTGGCCTAGGATCGGCCAATGTGGTGCGATCTCTCGATCGAGAAGTCGCCGACCGTTCACTAAACGGTACACGCGGCGTCAGAAACCAACGCCGAAGTCGTCACGACTCGAACCTGCCAACCCCGGTAGCGGTTCAAAGCGCCTGCACTGGTGCGAGACCAGGGCCGATGGCGCCCGATACGGTTCCGCGCAAAGGGAGGGGCGCCCAGTTCGTGTGCTGCGCTCGCCCAGGTCTGGGCCGAGTGGCGCGGTCAGCGCGCGAGCCGAGTTCGACGTCGCTCCTCTCCCCTCTCATGCCCCGCTGGCCGACAGCATGGGAAAGTCTTCGCGCTTCGCGTATCCCCACCAGCTTGCATGTGCATTCCGCGCGTTCTCGCGCTAATTATCTTGCGCTGTACTCCAGCCTCGTTCACACCGCGCTCTGGACTTTTCCTTGCGGGCCGCCAATCAAAAAAATATCCCCACCAGCGGCCTGGGCGCTGAGTGGTTCAGCCTTCAACGACATGTACAGCTTCTCGGAACCACCTTCAGCCCCCTTGCGCGCTGCAACACAGCTCTCGCCTGCTCAGCCGGCTGGCTTACGCAGGCCGTCCGTTTGAAGTCTGGCGCCACATCGGCTACTCACTTCTGTGGCCTTCCCATTTTCACCGGGCACAGTGACCTGCCCACTGTGGCAAGGGGTCCTGCGCCTGTCATGCGTTGGCCACTCGAATCCTGGTCATTTTGTCCAGTGCACGCGCCCGTGCTAGCAGTACGTCAGCCGGCTCTGGCCGGCCGCGTTTCTGTTTTTGCAAATTAGCTTCGCCCGTGGCCCGGACGTTGCCATCGCCACATGACCGCTGTCTTCGTGGCCGCTGACCAAAAAAGTATCCCCACCAGCCCATCCGATGACGATCGCCAGGCGAGTTGCCTTGACGAGGGATGTGCAGCAGCGCGTAGTCCAGGAGTGAACCACCTCCGTCGTCGCTGATTGTTCGCAGGGAGCGGAGGAAACGCAGGAGGATGAGGAGGAGGAGGAGGAGGAGCAGGAGGAGGAGCAGGAGAAAGGAGGGAGGGATATGAAGAGGAACAGGCGGAAAAGCAGGAATATGAGGGATCAGCAGCAGGCAGGAGGCGCACCGGCGCTCCGCGCGTGTCGCCGCAGGGCTGGCGGTCTTGGCTTGCGAGGAAACAGGAGGAGCAGGAGGAGGCATGCGCAGGCAGGAGGAGGCAGAATATGGCAGGAGGGATGAGGCAGGAGGAGGTACGAGGAGGAGGCAGGAGGAAGCCAGCACGCTGTCAGCATCCTTGGACGACGACGGCGACGGCGACAGGAGTAATCCATCAAGGCCTTTGGCCTCTTGGAGGCTTCCGCGTGCTGCCCAGGAGCGCCACACATGCCATGTGCGCCGCGGGCTCCATGGGGGCACCACGCACCCTGGAGGCCCAGGCGTGGCAGCGCGGGCAGCAGGGCGTCTCTGTCAGGAGCCGATGCGAAGGGGTCGCTGGGCGCCAGCGCGCGCTCCGGACCTGGAGGCGAAGTGCGCTTTGCACTGCTGTTTCGAAGTGGATGGTTGGCCTGCGCGCAGCAAGCAAAATTGCCGGCACCCCCCCAAAAAAAACAACGCGAAGTGGCCGCGGGGCGCCCGCGCATGCTCCGGATTTGGAGGCGAAGTGCATTCCGCATCGTGTTTTCTGAGGAGTGGCGGGGGGGATCCCATTGGTCCGAGTTGGCTGGGGGAGGGGGCGTTTATCAAGGAGGAGGATTGATAAATGCCTTCCCGAATGGGGAGAACTTGGCATCGCTCGGACGTGTGCATGTTTCTTTCGGCGAGGGCCATCGAGGAGCATCCTTGATCATTTGGCGAAAAAACCACGCACGAAACCGAAAAGAACACAGGGAATGGACGTCCGAGCGGTGCCCAGAGAAGGGCGGCTGGAAGAGGAAGCGCTCTAGACCACTCACGCCCCAAAGGGCTGGTGGGGTTGCATTCGGATGGGCATTCGCACGGGGCTGGCCAACAGGGGAGCATATTGATTATTGTTAAGTCGGGCCTGTCCCCCTACAGGGGGATTTTCGACGAAAAAAATAAAAAATACCCCAAACATAATCCACAAATAGCCCAAAAATAGTCCAGGAGTATTTGTTTTAGTATTTTTTGACCTTTTTGGAGCATTCTTGGGGTATTTTCTATTTGTCGTCGAAAATCCCCCTGTAGGGGGACACGCCCGACTTAAGATTATTGAGGACTTCTATACGGCTCCTGGTGGGGAGGGGGCCTGCCGCACCAGTCTATCATTAGCCTGACGAAGCAGCTACGCTTCTCGCAGGCCGCATGCAATGCGCCACACCGTGGCCAGGCAATCCGCACGGCAGCCGCGGGGCCGCTCCGTTGCAAATTGTTGTTGTTGCTATCGTCTTGCGATGCAATTCATGTATTGTTTTTCTTGCCGCGCTTGTTGCAGAACATCCGAAATCTGCAATGCGGATTCCGTTGCTTTGCGCTGCCGTTCAAGCGCATTTTTCAGGCTTGGACGATTTCTGTTAAGCTGAACCTCATCCGATGTGTATGATGTCCCGCTCACGCTGGAAGCTCTGGAGTCGCAAGTGGAGACTTACCAGATCAAGACGAACGCTTCGCGCTGCAACTGTTCTGCGTGTCTGGACAAGTGCAAGTTCTCCCGTTCAACCCAGGTTTGCCCAATCCAGCGTTCTGTCCCAATAAAGTCCACTTGTCCGTGTGTCCAAGCGCCTTTTGCCCCCTCCCCTCTCCGCTCTTTGCCCGTCTCCTATTCCTGATGCACTGCTCATAGTTCGCATACACGATTGGACAGTCATAGTTTGGACACAGGGCGAATGCGCGGCACGCTCATAGATGACACATGTGCCCACACAATCTTGATCACCGTTACACTCGAAGCATCAACAACAACACCACCACCACAACCATAATGATCATCATCACCATCATCAGCAGCAACACCAGCACCATCATCATCGTCATCATCATCACCATCATCATCACCATCATAAGCAGCAGCATCAAAAGCATCACCATCAGCACCATCATCATCCCCATCATCACCATCAGCATGATTCCATCGCCATCATGTGCATCATCATCAGCATCATCATCATCATCATCAGTACCATCATCATCATCATCATCATCATCATCATCATCATCATCATCATTATCATTATCATCATCATTATCAGCATCACCATCGTCAAAGGCCGCCGCGCCGCGCGCTCAGGCCATTGATGGAGCAGCGGCCTCCAGTCACCGCCCCCTCGCCCTGCCCGAAAGGCAGGGGGCCTCTTGACGATACCCCGCACACCGCCATGCCGCCATGGACGTGCTCCGGATCGCGGGCGCCGCGCACCTGCTAAGCACAGGACTCGCTCGCTGACATCAGGAACATGGACGAGCGCATGGCCCAAGCACCTGACCACCAGCCAGACGACGATGCCGATGCTGAAGAATTACGACACGCTGACCCTGAACTACTGGACGCTGAGCTTCAACAACAACATCCTCACGAATACAGAGGGCCAGCACAGGCAGGATCACACCATGCGGCCCATGAATTGCCACCAGTGGAACAATTGCACGCTGAACGTGACTTGCCACTTGGACTACTACCCCCACACCCACGCTGCGAAGGACTACTGGACGCTGAGCATCAATCCCAACATCATCACGAACATACAGGGCCAACACATGCAGGATTACGACACGCGGACCCTGAACGACTGGACGCTGAACGTCAATTTCAACATCTTCACGAACACAGAGGGCCAGTACGTGCGGGACTGGACGCTGAGCTACATCTCCATGAACACAGAGGGCCAGCACATGAAGGATTACGACACGCTGACCCCGAGCTACTGGACGCTGGACCACTACCTACACACCCAGCTCGCGAAGACTACTGGACGCTGAGCGTCAATTCCAACTTTTTCATGGACATAGAGGGCCAGCACACGCAGGAGTACGACACGCTGATCCTGGACGACTGGACGATGAACTTCAATTTCAATGTCTTCACGAACACAGAGTGCCAGTACGTGCAGGACTACACCGCGCTGCACCTGAACCGCCACCAGTGGAACAACTGCACGCTGGACGTGAATTGCCACCTGGACTTAAAGGTCGACATGAACGTGACCCTGGGGACGAGCGCCCTGATCATCAATTTCCAGTCCGACGACCCACCCACTTCTCTTCAAGGCCCATCGAACTCACCATCGTACTCCTCGCCCTACAGCACCTGACGCGCACTGGTGTTCAAAGGGCAGGAATGGGACATGACACTGCATATTATCAATACGCGGACCCGTTCGCTGAGCGAGTCTATCACCCCAGTCGACGGAAGCTCGAGAACGATCGCGACGTCAGCTCCACCATCATCCAGACTTTCGACATCGGCAAAAAAGGAAAAAGCCCCACTGGCAATGTGATTCAGGACATTCATGCATGCGTACGTTTATCTCACTGTTTCGACCATTTATGGCGATTGTATCTGAGGACAGGACTCATACAGAATGGAACTCAACACGCACAGAACATCGGTAAGCAGGACACCCTGGCCTCACGGGGCACGCACGGGGCTACGAAGAAGGCCGAACGGAACATCAAGATCATGCAGTTAGACATTTGCGACGAGCATGGCAAGCAGGTAGATGCCATCACGCAGGAGCACGAAAGCTACGAGCACATTATGGACTCCCTCAGGAAGAGCGGCCCCCCAGAGGACAAGAAATGCCTGCAGGGGATAGGGTCGCCAGCTCCGTCCCGCGCGCTGACGGCCCTAGAAGGACTGTACAAGTGCGACGTGGGCGGCTCCATGAAGGGTGCCATCGAGGACATCGAGGCGGAGACGGAGATCAGCAAGGAAGATATCCTCGACGCCATCAACTTTGTGCGCCTGGAAAAGTGCTACGACCACGACAAGACCAAGCTGGTGATCGGCGCGCTAGGCGCGCCCATGTGGGAGGGCCAAATCCTGATCAGCCGCGCCCTCGAGGCCGAGGGCCAGGCGGTCCACCACCGAGACGGGGGCCCAGTGGGCTGGCTCGAGGAGGAGGCTAGAGACGCTCGAGCAGTGAACCCGTCTTTTTCTGCCAGAGCGAGCCTGCAGGCCACAGTGCAGGCCGCAGCGGAGAGGAGGCGTTTCAACGCCGCGTCAATTTCGTTCGAGGCAAAGACCTCCCTGCCAGCAGCGGCACGGTCACGGCCGGCCACATACCCTCCCTCCTCCGTCGTGCCTCCACTCCCCCCATGCCGTGCCAGCACATCCAGAGGAGCAGTGTGAGGGGGAGGCCCCACCTGAGCATGATACAACCGCCGAAGAAGAAGCGGCCGAATATCTCAGCTAGCATTTCGACCCTGCCTGGCACGCGCTGCGCAGGAGGCCCCTCCGAGCAGCACCCTGGCAGTCTGGCCCAAGCGGGGCAACACGAGACAGTCGGCTCTATGCGACGGATCACTTTAAATCTGGTTTCATTGTACACCATATCCTGATATCAGATGTTGGTCCTGACGTCGAGGAACAAATCACCATCACCATCATCATCAACATCATCATCATCACCATCGTCATCAACATCACCATCACCGTCATCATCATCATCATCATCAGCACCAGCACCAGCACCAGCACCAGCACCAGCACCAACACCACCATCATGGCCCCCGCAGTTGCGGGTAAGAGTGCTGGGAAGTGGGTCGTCGGCAGTCTGTGAAGATCGGGATCAATTTTGTAGGAGCCCGCCGCAGGCGCCCATTTTGTTTGCACGTTACACAACGAGCTTGTCGCAGGAGTTGGTCTTTTCGTGAAAGCAGTGTGGGTGGGTCGCGGGTGGGTCTCGGCAAGGTCGCGGGTGGGTCGCAGATGGTTCGCGGGCAGGTCGCCGGTGGGTCGCGGGTGGGTCGCGGATGGGCGACGACGCCCAAGAGCACGAGAACAACGACAATCGGCGCCGCTGAACCCCACACCGCCCTCCCACCAAGGCCCCCTGCAAGACCGTTCGAACGCTCGGCCCCCTCACTCAGACACCGAGTCGAATCACGTTTGGCGCAACTGCCGATTGCCGGCACGCACGCCTCGCGGCTGGTTCGTTGACCGTTCCCCCCCCCTCCCCCGCCCTTTTCCGCCCTCCCCGCCTGCTCCTGCCCTTCCACCCGAAGGGCGACTCTGACGGCCTTCGCGGCCTTCGGAACGAGGAAGGAGGGAGGAGCAGGGGACGGTTGTCGCCCCTCCACCCCAACCAGGTTAGTGAACACAGGTTTCTGGAGTCGCCTCCGATGCGCCCCGCTCTCCGTGGCCCCACCCCTGGCAGCCTCCGAGGCCCTTCGAACACGTCCGAGGACTTTGGCGAACCTAGAAATCGTCGGAGGAAGATTCGGCATCGTCCTCCGCAGCTTTCCCAGAAGCGCTTGGGCTCTCCTTCCCTCCCCAGGAGCCTGGGGCTGCGCACAGGCAGTCCCAGGAGTCGGTCCAGTCGGGCGCCTGGGTAGTCATCTCAGTGGGCCTCGGCAACGACAGGGCCCGGTGTGTTACCAGTCATGCTGCTCCTTTGTTTGTCAGGTGCCGTCGCCACTTCTGTGTTTGTCCCGTCACTTTTTTTATTATGGTTCCAGTTCCGATTCCGTCGCTGGTTATGTCCCGCTTGTGGGCAAGCGCTAGCACATCTGATGACAAAGCGCTGTCATACTCAAGGGAAGCGTTTTTCCCAAATTGCCTTGCCGCTTCCAAGGCCCACCACGGGGTACTCAGACCAGTGCAGCCCCCAGCACCTTGGATGGACGTGCTCATAGCAGCCTCAGCCACTTCGAAATTCTGCATCGAGCATTTCGACAATTGGCCACTGCGGCCTCAGCCACATTGGCAGAAGCTCCAGAATATGATCGACAAGGGCAAGACCATCAAGATGGACATCGTCATGTTGGGCCCTCCTGACTATGTTTGGCCTCTGCCCCCGACGCGCGAGTTGACACAAGATCTGAGTTCAATCTGGAGCGCTCAGGGCTTGCAGTCGTAGGATTTCTGGGGGAACGCAGCCATCCAGGAGGAGGTGGAGCCAGCAGGAGGGGGCAGGATAGGGAGAAGTGGAGGCGGCAAGGATGGGGAGGGAGACGACAGAAGTCCTCCTCCTCCTCCTCCTCCTCCTCCTCCTCCTCCTCCTCCTCCTCCTCCTCCTCCTCCTCCTCCCCCCCCCCTCCTCGACAGTGTCTTCGATGTCCCAGGTTCTCTCGGTACCACATCCCCTGACCTCTCGACCCCCTTCCCGGGCACCGGCGCCTCGTCCCGAGCAGCCCCCCTGACTGCCCGACCGGCCAGCCGCCGGCCCCGGGAGGCCGACGAGGGCAAACGAGCTTCTCCGGCTCAGGGTCCATCTCGATCCGATCGATCCGATTCGACGTCGATTCTAGCCAGCTCGATCCGATTCGAGCCCGATGTTCCGACAAGCCGATGCGGCCCGATGCTTGCATGGCGCTGTTGTGCATCCTGGCGCGGGCCGACCCGATCCGACGCGGCACGATCCGGCGCACATTCCCGTCCGATCGAATTGGCCGATTCGATGCAGACCGATGTTGCTTTGTCCCTTCTCGTCCCTCATCGATTCTCGGTCATTCTTTTTCACCTCCTCCACTCGGCGGCGAGCCCGGGGGGAAGTGAGAAGAGGCGGGCCTTCTCAGGAGACTTGGAAGTCCCCCGGCCTTCTGAGAAGCTCTTGAGCCTTCCCCGACTACACAGACGACCTCTCAGCAGGCGCGAAGGCTTCTGAGGAGTCCCGCCGCCTTCTGAGAAGGCCTTCTCCTTGTCACTTCGACCCCCCATGCTCTCCGTCGATTTGGGTTTTTGGGTCATGTCTCGGGTCTCCGGCAGTCGTTCGGGACGATCCAGGCACCCCCGGAACGCCTTCGGCGAGGCGCAGCTGCTGGCAAGCATCCTGAGGCCGAAAAAAGGTCGCCGAGAATCGACGAAGACGTCCGAAAAACCTCCAACCTCGAACCCGAAGCTTCTTTCTCGAGCCTCGATCCTGCCGGCCAAAATCCGCTCCGAGCAGACCTCAGGAGGGAAAGAAACACACAGACACAATCAATCGTCGACTCCCAGGAAAAAATGGAAAACACGGGAAGCGGGGGGGGGAAGACGAGAACTCCGAAAATAGTTATGGGAACACATGGGGCATCCTGCTCTTTGTGTCTGTTTAGTTGGGTGTCCCTCCCTGCAAGAAGCATCTGCAGAACATAATAGATGCGTTCAGATGCGATCGCGCCCTGGCGCAGGCGAGAAGCCCATCGTATTTATTCTTCTGCAACGACGACAATACAGATACTGTTTTTAGATGCGCGCCCTCGGGGGGGCCTTGAAGGGGCCCAGCTGGGCCCCTGCAAGGCCCCCCCGGGGGGCCCGCCCTCTCCGGGGCCGGCGCCCGGGCCACCCACAGTGCCGCCCTACGCCCCGCCGCGCCTCGCGGCGAGAGCCGCCAGAGCGACGTCTCGGAGCCTCCACGGCGACGTCGACGACGACGTCGCCGTCGACGTTTTCGTCGTGGTCGTCGCCCCCAGAGATCCAGAGTCTTGAAAGAATCAAGGCGGAGGTTTTTCGCCGATTTCGACCTCTACAGAGGCCCTCGCCCGGCCCCGGGACCGTCAAGAAACGACGCAGGGTGGAAAACTGGTCCTGGTGAACGGGCCGAGACTTCCGGGGACCGCGCATTGAAAAAATTACGACATCGGATCTCTGGGTCCTGGTCGTCGACGCCGTCGTCGTCGTCGCCCTACCCCCGAGGAGCGAGGGCGTCCTGCCGCGCGGGGCCCAGGTGCCCGGCACCGTCCGGTACTTCTCCGGGGGCGCGGAGGTGCACATGATGACGGCGACGACGGCGTTGGAAGGAGAAAGGACGCCATAGAAATTGCCGGGGGCTGGGTGCGCCTCTTTGCCTTATGTCGGGCGTGTCCCCCTACAGGGGGATCTTCGACGAAGAATAACAAATCCCCCTGTAGGGGGGCAGGCCCGACTTGATGCTGGGGACTGCGTGCGCCTCTTTGCCCGCGGCGCCAGCGGTCCCTAACGCGTTCGATAGCTGGCGGGGCGCGCCGCGCTCTTGGGTAGTGCAGGTGGAGAAGAAGAGGGCGGCCGCGTGTGGAGGAGGATGGACAGGCATGGCGCGGCCAGCCCGGGCGAGAGCTGGATACACGTGTGGCCAGATGTCTCTCGAGCGCTTGGCTCTCCTTTCCCCTCGAAGCCCGGGCTTCCGCACGTGGGTCCTGCGCGTGGCCCCCCGAGGCTCCGCATGCGAATCCAGCCATGGGTGTGTTCCAGCTTCCTGGTGCACTTTCGGAGGTCTGCGCGGATACGTCCTGGGTCGCCGCTGGACCCCCTTCCCGCTGGAGGAGCCCAGCGCCGATCCAAGAGAAATCCGCGCGGTCCTCGAAGGTGTGGTTTTGTACTACTTCTTTTGCTACGTCGCCGACGGCGGTTACGACGACGGCACCGACGATCTGGGTTTTTTGTTGGTCCTCCGGATGCCTCCAGTGGCCGCTTTTGGAGTGCTCACCTGCCTTCTCGTCCCCTTGCAGCGCTCGTCCATTCGGCATCCCCCCCCCGTCCCAAGCCTAGAAAATCTCCCTGAAGAGGTCCAGCATGTCCAAGAGATTCTGAGCCTCGGCATGTCGCCCCATCAGTTTTCGTCCCCTGAGTTTTTCGGAGGCCGATAGACATCCTACCTTGACGCGTCGATTAGCGAATTGGCCGTTTTCGGTTCGCGAAAGGGCGTCGCGGCCGTCATTTTTGCGGGTCCAGGTCCGTCGGCTTCGGTCCCATGCCGTTTTCACTACAGGGTGGTTTACTAAAGGGAGGTTTGTCCACCGCCGAGTTTCCCCCCTTCTCCTCATCCCCCAACCACGAAACCGCGCCCCAACGAGAGTCAAGTACTGCAGGCGCATCCAGGAGGGCATCGGCCAGGCAGCAGGTGCCCCGCGGAAACGTCTTGTCCCCCGATGGCCCAAGGGACCCACAGAAACCCTGGGGCACGTTGGGATCTTAAGAGATCGACAAAGCATGTGCCCCAGCATGCCGTGTAGCAAGATTTATGTTCGCACGTGTCTGCAGTGGAGACCCATGCCAAGAAACACCCTGCTTGCCTCCATGGTGCGCTAGGTTTCTGGGGCTTCGACGGTTGTGCGATAGAGAGCGCGACGTTCCCACACCAAAAATCAACGAACGTCATGGGGTCTCAAGGTTGGGTTTCTTGTGGAAGTGCTCTTGTGGACTAGCCTCCACTGTACTGCACGAGGACAGGGAGGAGTGGATGATGCGAGGAGGTCCGCGGAGCTCTCTGGAGGAGCGCCCACTCCAAAAAAAAACGCCCAATCACCCTCCGAACCCCGCCATCACTCTGACACCCGCCGATGGGATGTTTCCAACCCGCGGCCCCAAGTGTCCCGACCTCGTCCCAGGGGTCAGCTTTTGGCCCCAGGCCCATTTTTGATGACCCTTGATCGATAGTGGGCACTGGAAGCCGAAATCGAGGAAAAACGCTCGGATTTTATAAATCGTATCGTCGGAAGTCTGGGACGTCTGTGTTTAGTGTACAGCCGAGAAGCTTCGAACCTCGACGACGACGACGACGACGTCGACGACGACGACGACGACGACGACAACGACGATGACGGCGGCGGCGGCGGCGGCGGCGACGGCGACACCAGCGGCGGCCCCCAAGAGGTGCGCACGGACCTGCAGCCGACCGTGAGCACGGGCCTCTGGGCGGACACCCCCCGCCGCCGGCAGCGCCGACGCCGTCGCCGACCACGCTGCCGCCGCCGACGCCACCGCCGTCAACGCCGTCGCCGACGGTGGCCGCCACCGTCGTCGTCGCCGACGACGTCCGAGCCGCCGTTCGCCGTCACCGACAACATCGCTGGCGCCGTTCATCGTCGCGTTCGTCGCTATCGTCGTCGTCGGCGTTGTCATCGTCGATCGGCGTCGTCGGTTCGGGAGGTTTTTGGGCAGCTCCGGGGGCCCTTGTCGCCACGGCCGGACGCGGCTCGACAAACCAATCAGGACGGATTCCTGGAGGCGTTCAGCATTGATTTCGGGCGGAAGTTGACCGTTCCGAAGAGGAATAGATACTGATCTGGAATAGCTGGTCCTCTCAACCACCTACACCCCGAGTGCGGGTTGGATTCTCCTTCCTGATCCAACGCCTCTCCCCTTCCCCTTGCCATCCTCCCTCCTCGCACCCCTCCCTGGGGGCAGGGGGCGGGCGAGGCATTCGAAGCTCCGACGACAGTCCGACAGCTCCCCGGAACCCTGGAAGCCCGCCGAAGAGCCCCTTAAGAGTAGCCCGGCGCCTCCGAAGGCCACCCCGCAGACCGACGACGGCCGGCGCCGGCGGCGGCGGCCGCCAGCGGCGGGAGCGAGACAGCGAAGGCGACGAGGGCGACAAGCTCCCAGACCTCTTCTGGCCAGCACGTCGGCACGGATCCGGCCGGGGCGGCGAATCTCCGTTTTTCCACCAGCAGGTCGCCTCCTCGGCTCTCGGCCCCGCGGCTTTCTTCCTCCTCGGTCGGTCGGTCGGTCAATGGCGGCAGAGTCTGGGAGCCCATACCACGCGTGGGACGAGAAAGAGGCAGGATAAGAACAGCAGCAATGCAATTCATGGCGGTGCTTCCTTCCAAAGAGAGGTGAACCCTGAGGGCGCACACACCGTTGGTTACGTTCCTCCTCCGCCCCCACAGAAGGCCCCCTCAAAAAGTCAAAAACGAGCAAGGCACTTGGAGCCTCGACGACGGCGGCGATCTGCAGTGGCGGCTACAAGTATCGGCAACGCGTAAGAGTGACCCTTCGCTGGAGTGACCTTCGACGAGGGCTCACAGGGGCCCACCCAACCATGGCCTGTGCGCTCGGAGTTGGCCTTCCTGCGGCCTCCCGACGCCGCGCACGGGAGGTCACTGTTGCCTAGGGTCGCTCTTGCGTGTGAATCGGATGGCCGCGGCGTTGGTGACGGCGGCGACGACGGTGGCGGCGACGACGGCGGCGGCGACGGCGGCGGCGGCGGCCGTTGCAACGACGAAGACGGTGCCAGCGGCGGCGGTAGCGACGACCCTGAGATCTAACCTACCGAGACAAATACATCGTCGCAAGAAATCACTACCGGAAGCCTGTAGACAGATCTTCCTGCGGCATTTCTCGAGCCGAATCTGTCCGTGAGGGTCCCAGGAGCCAAAATTCTTCCCCCGTGGCGCTAGCGGCTACAGAGCTGCGGCGTTTCAGCTTCTGTTACACTGCTGTCTGCTATGATTCGCGCGATGTCGAGAGACGTGGTTCTTGCAATCTTGTGCCGCTCAAGGATTTGCCTTGTTTTGCCCAAGCGTGTTTCCTAATTCTTGGACTTACATTCGCAGACCCCCGACGTCATGATTATTTCATGACGTGGACCCCGAGCGGTCTGGACCCATTTCCCGGGACTGCTCTTCCATCCCGAGTCGTTTTCTGACGGCCCCAGGGGCGGCTGAGGGTCCCCACAGGCCGAAAAGAAGGACAACCCCTCCGTCGTGTTTTTTTTCATGAGCGAGGGGCCAGACACGCGACGCCAGGATGGGGAGGAGGAGGAGGAGGAGACAGAGGAGGAGGAGGAGGAGGAGGAGGAGGAGGAGGAGGAGGAGGGAGGAGGAGGCAGCGACGGCGGCGGTCTGCACTGCCTGCAGCGGCGGCGGCGAGGCTCCAGCGGGCGCCTCCCGCACGCAGCTGGGCGGCAACCTGTACGAGGGCAGGGGGCAGGCCGACGGCGGTGCAGGCCTGCCGCCCGCGCAGGAGGCCCGCGGGGGATCGAGGATCGATCGAGGATCGAGGATCGGGGATCGGGGATCGGGGATCGGGGATCGAGGATCGAGGATCGATCGAGGATCGAGGATCGGTGAAGGACCGGGGATCCAGGATCGACGGAGGGTCGGGGTCGGTCGAGGACCGATCGAGGCCCGAGGAGCGCGCAGCGAGCTTCCAGCACCGAAAAGCGCGGCACGCCGCCGGCGCGAGTGCGCGGGGCCTGCCGCCCGCGGGGGGGGGGGGGGGGCAAGCGGGTTTGGTTGCCAAGGGACGCCCCCAAAGCCCAGGCGATCGCAAGCATGGATACCCCAGGCCCCCTCGGGCAATGAAAAAAAAGTCATGACGGGAGGGCTTTCGCTATTTTCGGCCTCGGGGGGCCCTCGCCGGGCCTCGGGACCGCCAAAAAGCGACTCAGGATGAGAAACCGGTCCCGGGGAATGGGTTGAGACCTCCAGGGGTCGACGTAATGAACAAATCATGACGTCGGGAGTCTGCTCAAGGGGGCGTGGATTAGCGACGGGTCCCGTCTCCATGGGAAGTCGTGGATTTCCGCCGCCGAGCGAGGCGGCACCCGCCGCATTTTGGGGAGGGCACCTCCCCCGATCCATGGATTTGGCGACCGCTCGCCAAATCCATGGATCGCTAATCCATATTTGCGCGCCCCCGACAAACCCAGCTCCAACAAGTGGCGACCTCACGGTCGGACCGAGGTGCAAGATCGAGGTCGGTTCGGGGCAGGGCACCCTGCGGTGCTCCGTGCTCGTGGGATGTTCTCGTGCGCCCTGGGGAAGGTGCACCCTCGGATGCGCTGTGCGTGTTGGCCGGCGGAGGGCCTCGTGTTCTCGAGGGATGTGCTTTTGTCCTGATTCGGTTCGATGGCAGCGGCCCTGAGAGTGACGCGCAGCACCCACCGTGTGCAGAACGTCCGCGTTCAAAGACGCCGCCTGTTGGCTCGACCTGTCGGCCCGCGCTCTGGCGAGCGCACCGCGCCGGACCTGCGACGCTCTCGGCCCACGTGCTGAGCTCCCCGCCTCTGCACGCCGCGGGCTGCGCGTTGCGCACCGTGGCAGCTCTGGGCCACGTGGCGGCGACGTCGCCGGGCGCCTTCTCGAGACGAAGGCGAACACCAGAGGGGGCGAGCTGCCCCTGCCGCGGGCTCCGCGCGGAGGAGTGGCGCACCCTGCGCGCCCCGAGGGAGTTGGCACCGGAAGAGAGCGGGCCGCAGGCGTGTAGCGCGCACGGTCGGACCAGGGCATGAGATCGAGGGCGGTGCCTCGGGCTTGCTGTCATTGCAGCATTCCCGCCTCCACGAACGAAAAACAAACCACAAAAGTAAACGAGTTGATATTTTTACTCATTTACTCAGTTACTCCAATTCCTGAGTAATCAATCCTGTAGATGATCCTCCACTCGAAAGCCTTGTGCATCATGGGGGCGGGTGCCCTCGAGGGCTCTTCAGTTTGGCTGGCGGAGGTCAGCGGCGAGCGAGGGGGGGAAGCGAGAAGGGGGGGAAGCGAGAAGGGGCGGGCCCTCTCAGGAGGCGCGGAAGTCCCCCGGCCTCCTGAGAAGTGTTCTGAGAAGACGCGAGGGCTTCTCAGAAGCCTTCTCAGAAGGCGCGAGGGCTTCTGAGAAGTCCCGCCGCCTTCTGAGAAGGCCTCCTCCTCCTCACTTCCCCCGCTCTCTCGCCGCCGAGGAGGGTCTCATGTTCTTGGATGTGATTCTGTCCTAGGTCCGACTTTAACTTCGCTGGGCCTGCCACGAGCTCATGAAAGTGCAGGCAGTTTGCGCAGATGCCAGAGCCCAGGGTGGGACCCAATGCTGCGATGGCTTCGTGTCGCGACGATTGCGGCGCTGGTCTGTGGGGGTTTGTAGACGCGGTGAGAGAAACAGCACGGAGGTGTTTGGCCGTTTTTTGCGTCTTGGAGCCCTCGCTGGTTCCCCGGACCGCCGATAAACGACTCGGGACTGGCCCTGGGAGAAGGGTTGGGACTTCCAGGGACCCCGTGTTGAAAGAATCAAGACGTCAGGTCTCTGGGTTCGTGTCGCGACGACTTCGGCGTCGATCTTTGTCACCGCGCGGGCCCTTCAGCCATGATGGTCGGCGGCGTTTCGATCTCCAGGTCGGACAAGTATAATACACTTGTCTGGGCAAGTTTGATATATAACAAAAGTTCGGACCAGCGTCAGAAAAAGCAAACAACAAAAACAAATGCGGACATTGGTCCGGAGCATCGTTGCCACGCCATGCAACGCCTGATAGCAAACACATTGCCGCATGAGTTGCTGTAGGCGTGCATGCATGTATGCTTGTTGGACGATCGGCTGCGTTACGATCTCCAGGGCGTTCCATGTTGGCCGGCTCTGGGCCACCAGCGGCGTTCAGCCTCGAACTTTTGCGCCAGGGTCGCCGGCGCGTCGGCATGAAACGAGCCTACAGCACGCAGGCCGCATCTGCACACCCACACCACAATTCAGCAGTTGACGATCTCAAACCTCTGCTGTAGGTGCTGCTCGTTTTGCAGGCTCTCTGGTGAGCTTTCGCCGGTCTCTCTGGCTCGTGAGACTTCGCTTTCGACTAGACGTAAGAGTGACCCTTCGCCAGAGTGGCCTTTGGTACGGGCAGATTTGGGCCCCCCGATCGCCGAACGCGATACGATAGCAGCGTCGTGCTTGCGCGCCTGTGTTTGATCCCCCCGCAGCCCCCAAGAAGCCGCGCACCAAAGGTCACCCGGACCCAGGGTCACTCTTGAGTGTAGCCGAGGCCTGGGCAAAAACGGCTACGGTACGGCCGTCCCTCTTGCCCGCGCGCGCAGTAGCGAAGAAGGGAAGCACCTTCTGACTGCGCCGCCCCGCCCTCGTCGTGGAGAAAAATCACATCGGGTGGGGTCGCCCACTTTCGGTTTCCAGGGACCTACGCCCGACTCAAACACGCGGCCCGGGATGACAACAAGGGGCTCAGGAATAGTCCACAAGCGGCTCAGGGATAGCCGACAAGCGGCTCCAAAGTTCCAGCCAGCCCACCTTTTGAAACAAAGACGACGCCGCAGGTCTGGGCGCAGACTACTGCCATGCGTGGCCAGGGCCATCCTGGGCCCTGGCCGAGGCCACGAGTCTGAGCACCATCCTGGGGACCGGGATGGCCCTGGCAGGCGTGGCAGGAAGCCCACTGCCTTGTGTGAGAGATTGCGCAGGGAGGTGATAGGAAAGCGAGACTGACCTGCGTCGACACGAGCCTCTGTCTGCTGAGTATGCCTCAGGGTGGCACTGAGGAGGCTCGGGTATCGGGGCGCTGGTGACGGGCGTCGGCGTCAGCACTGACGGGACCATGTGGAGCCGGGCCAGCGAGCCACATGGAGCTGACCCTCCCCATCCCCGCCGTCCGCTGATCAGGATTTGGAAGCTACTTTTTGGCCGGCCCAGGTACGCGATGCGGCCCTGGCTGACCTGAGTCAGCGCTGGCCTGGATCAGCCGTCCCCGAGTTGTTCGAGGATCGACGACGTCAACGACGTCGATGCCTTTGCTTGCAGGTCTTGGGGGTGTTCTGGAGACTGGCCTGGATGGCCTTGGGAGGGGTCCAGGGAATGATCTTGAACAGGTTCTGGTGAACGCCCCTGGAGGATCTGGGCTTTTGGACGTGTGTAGCTTTTTCTGGGTCACCCGGACCAGAGACCTCCAGGGCCCCCAGGGCTCAGAGATAGTTGAGTTGGATCGCACAAGAGAGCTTTAGGGATGGCCCCACGACAGCCCAAGACTGCCCCAAGATGGCCCCCAGGATGGCCCCAAGAGCCCAAGAGGGGTCCTCCGAGCAGGGACGACGTCGAGGAGAACCTTGAGATCCGACGTTGCAGCAAAAATGCAACATGACCAGAATCCCAGACCCCACCTTTCTGCGGCATTGTTTCGGCCCAGATCCATTTGTGATGGTCCCGAGACCCGAAACAGAGCGAACCCGCCCAGTCTGGTAAAATTGCAACGCCCAGATCTCAGGGGACGTTTTCTTACTATTTCGGGCAACGGTTGTTCCCCGGGGGGGAGGGGGTTGGGGCATCTGGTCTCTGACCTTCCGCCTTCCACACCTTTCGACCAGCAGGTGTCTGATTTCGGACGGGGCTGAGACGAGGATCAATCAGTTGCAGAGCGTTCCGTTCTGGAACGCTCTGAGAAGGCCGCGGCGCCCGAGAGATCCTCCCGAGCCGCCAGATCTCGGAGATCCCCGATTTATCTTCACCCGATGTTATCCTCGTCCTGGCTCCGTGTTACGATTCTTGGTGATTCTCTCCCGGGACAGAGATGGCGTAAACATATAAACTTTCGATGAGGTCCACGCGCATTTCTTGGATCGGCGCTGGACCCCCTTGCGACGCCTCCAGCGCCCCCCCTAGCGCGCTCCGCGCGCCAGGGAGGCGTGCCAAGCATAGATCCAAGAATCCCGCGCGCGGAGCTCGGCATGTGCTGGTCGGATGGTGTGGACGGGGGAGAGGGTTAAGTCGGGCGTGCCCCTCTACATTGGGGAATATTCAAAAATAGGAAAAAAATAGTCTGGGGACGATTGTTTGACAATTGTTGAATATTTCGGTGCATCTTTTTATTATTTGTTCTCCCCAAATCCCCCTGTAGGGGGACACGCCCGACCTAAGCGCAGAGTCTGCGAACACAGGCAGGGCGCCTGCGAGCACCGGCAGGCCGCCCCCCATAAAAAAAAATTACCCTGGCGAAGGTCCCAACCATATGCAGTTGTGGGTACCGTAACTCTGAATATCTGCTTCGGTGAAGCTCCCTATGGGACCACGAAGCGCTGCACTGGGCGGGGGGGAACGCTGTACTGTGTGGGTGTTGTGCCGAATTGGGCTTCCGGGACGCATGAGGACGGTCCCACTGAGGGCTTCGGTGGAGCTCCTTATGGGGCCACGAAGCGCTCTACTGAGTAAGTGAAATGCCAAATTGGGTTACCGGGAGGCAGCGGACGGTCCCACTGGGGGCTTCGGTGGAGCCCCCTATGGGGCCACGAAGTGTAGCACTGCGCGGGTGAACATGCCAAATTGGGCTTCCTGGACGCATGCGGACGGGGGCACTGGGGCTTTCGGTGGAGCTCCCTATGGGGCCACGAAACGCTGTACTGGGTTGGTGAAACGCAGGGAGGAGGAAGAGGAGGGCCACGAAACGCTGTATTGGGTGTGCGGGACGCATGCGGACGGTAGCACTGGGACCTTCGGTGGGGCTCCCTATGGGGCCACGAAGCGCTGTACTGGGTGTGCGGGACGCATGCGGACAGTAGCACTGGGACCTTCGGTGGGGCTCCCTATGGGGCCATGAAGCGCTGTACTGGGTGGGTTAAACGCAGGGGGAGGGGGAGGAGGGCCACGAAACGCAGTATTGGGTGTGCGGGACGCATGCGGACGGCAGCACTGGGACCTTCGGGCCACGAAGCGCTGTACTGGGTGTGCGGGACGCATGCGGACGGTAGCACTGGGACCTTCGGTGGGGCTCCCTATGGTGCCACGAAACGCTGTACTGGGTGTGCGGGACGCATGCGGACGGTAGCACTGGGACCTTCGGTGGGGCTCCCTATGGGGCCACGAAGCGTTGTACTGGGTGGGTGAAACGCAGGGAGGAGGAAGAGGAGGGCCACGAAACGCTGTACTCGGTGTGCGGGACGCATGCGGACGGTAGCACTGGGACCTTCAGTGGGGCTCCCTATGGGGCCACGAAACGCTGTACTGAGCGTGCGGGGCGCATGCGGACAGTAGCACTGGGACCTTCGGTGGGGCTCCCTATGGTGCCACGAAGCGCTGTACTGGGTTTGCGGGACGCATGCGGACGGTAGCACTGGGACCTTCGGTGGGGCTCCCTATGGGGCCACGAAACGCTGTACTGGGTTGGTGAAACGCAGGGAGGAGGAAGAGGAGGGCCACGAAACGCTGTATTGGGTGTGCGGGACGCATGCGGACGGTAGCACTGGGACCTTCGGTGGGGCTCCCTATGGGGCCACGAAACGCTGTACTGGGTGTGCGGGACGCATGCGGACGGTAGCACTAGGACCTTCGGTGGGGCCCCCTATGGGGCCACGAAACGCTGTACTGGGTGTGCGGGGCGCATGCGGACGGTGGAGAAGGAGGAGGAACGCGGGGACCGTCTTTTTAAAACGAGGACGGGGGAATAACCAATCCGTGTCCCCAATCCGTAGGCGTATGAGGACACCACGCAGCTCGCAGAGCTGCGGCGACCGTTGTGTGGCGGTCCCCACTTATGGTACGCAACACATGCAATTACGTAAATATGTATGTGATCCCACATATATGTAGACTGTGTACCTGGAGAATAGAAGACACCAGCCCAAAGAAGAACTGAAGTACAACATAATCCAATTGTTGCCACAGGATGGTTGGCAACAAAAACGCAGCATCGCTACCACTACCCAGGGGAAGGAGGAGGAGGAGGAGGAGGAGGAGGAGGAGGATTCGAGGAGGAGGATGGAACGAGGAGGAGGAGGAGGAGGAGGAGACGAGGAGGAGGGTGAGATGAGATGAGACGGCTCCCGGGGACGTCCAGGGAGGAAGGGACCAGCCCGGCACAAAATTGGGGAGTTGCACCATCGTAGGGGAAGTTTGCGACAGGTGCACGCCGCCGGCCTCCGACGGGCCTCTTCACGAGCTGGAATTCGCTCGTGGAGGCGGGCCAGTCGAGCTTCATACGGGACAGCGCTGTCCAAAGCACCACTGGCTGTGCTGGCGACGGTGGTTCTGGACACGACGTCCCGAGCGGACGCGACCGACACACCGACGCGAGGGGCGGGGATGGCCCGCTCGATCACCGCGCGGATTCGGGGGGAGGGTTGGCATGGGCAACGACCTTGACGCGCCAAAGGGCCCCCCCCGCTCCCGGGGGCCCGAGACAGGCGCCGCTGGCGCCTCCGCTGCCGCCGGAGCCGTCGGCGCCATCAGGGGGAGCCGAAGGGGCCGGAGCCGCCGCCGGATGCCGACCCGCGGCGGTGCCGCGGCCGCCACTGGGGGCGCCACCGGCGCTCCCACCCAGAGGGCAGCCGTCAGAGAGGGAGAGATGCGGCCTCCCCCGCTGGAGGCGCCAGGTCTGGCAGTTGTCTGTGCCGTGCTTCCTCGGGAGCTTGGCGTCTCCAGTTGTTCGAGCCGGGCGTTTTCGGCGGGGCCCTGGACTGCACAGGCCGATCCGGCCTTTGGTCGTGATTTGCCACGAGGCTGCAATTTTCCTCCACGTCGGATCTCAGGGGTAATCCGTCTTGGATGGAGGTTCGGCCACCGAGGTTGAGGTGCTCGATCTTTGGGGCAGTCTGTCCCCCCCCCCTGGCCACGGCTTATTTCGATTCCTCCGGTTCGTTTCGATTCGATCTCTCGATGGTTTGCGCTTCCGATTCGATTCGACTTCGCCTTCCGATTTGGATGCCGAGTTCTCAATGGAGGCCTCCTACCCTCAGATCCGACGTTTCGAACATTTCAAACATCGTGAAACTCACTGCCAGAGCCCCCTTGCGCTATTTTTTGAGCCAGATCGATCAATGAGGATCCGGTGCCCGAAATTGGGCGCAAACGCCCGGTTTGAGGGTAGGCTGCCGATTTCTGTCGATCGAGTTCTCCCGACTTGGCTGCCGATTTCCGCCCTGCACTCTTGGCCAGGCGGGGCATCCTGCGCGGCGATGGGGGCGATCCGGGTTGGGCCCGCAGACCCGACCCCCCAAGCGCCGGCTCTGGCTCGCGAGATTCTCGCGAGGGAGGGAAGGAGGAGGAGGAGGAGGAGGAGGAGGAGGAGGAGGAGGAGGGAAGGGAGGGCGCTCGTTCTCAGAACGTGGAAGGGGGGGAGGAGAGGGAGGACGAGGACGAGGAGGAGGAGGAAGAGGAGGAGGAGAAGGAGGAGGAGGAGGAGGAAAAAGGAGACTGAAGAAGAAGGAAGAGGAAGAGGAGGAGGAGGAGGAGGAGGAGAGGAGGAGAGGAGGGAGAAGGAGAAGGAGAAGGAGACGAAAGGAGGGGAAGGAGGGAGAAGGGAGGAAGGAGAGGGGGGGTGAGGGGCAGGGGAGGAGGAAGAAGAGGAGGAGAGGAGGAGGAGGAGAGGAGAGAGGAGGAGGAGGAGGTGGAGAGGGAGTAGAGGGAGAGGGGGGGGAGGATACCCCCACCCACACTTGGGCCGTTCCCTGGAGTCGCAGCGGGTGCTCCCCCCCCTTCGGGCTCCCCCGCCGTCCGACTCCACCGCGGCCGCGGTGGGTGAGCTGAACCACCTCGCCTCGCTGATCGCGCCGACCTCCGCGCACCAGGGGGAGACGTTCAGGCTTGAGCCGCTGGGGGGAAGGAGGAAGGAGGGGAAGGGAGGGAGGAGGGAGGGAGGAGGGACAGGCGGAGGGGGGGGAGGGGGGAATGAGGAGGAGGAGGAGGAGGAGGAGGAGGAGGAGGAGGAGGAGGAAGACGAGGACGAGGACGAGGACGAGGACGAGGACGAGGACGAGGACGAGGACGAGGACGAGAAGGACGAGGAGAAGAAGGAGGAGGAATAATAAGAAGAGAGGAGAAGGAGGAGCAGAAGGATGTGGAGGAGGAGGAGGAGGAGGAGGAGGACCAGTGTAAACCCAAGAGTCATCAACGATGTTGGAATAAACACTCACTCGAAACTCCCTCTTCGTAGGCCCCTACAAGCTTCATTTCCACTGAGGGACCTGCCTCGTTGGAAAACCGTTTAAAGACCCTGAAGCATACGGAAAACGTTGTTCTCGGGATTCTTACTCCACGGATCAACCTGACGGCTGAGTCTTCACGATCTTGAATCGTGCCAGAACGCCATTTCTGGGACTTCGACTCAGCAAATCAGCATAACTGCTGCGCCCTCATAACCCTGAATCCTTTCGAAACACCGCTTCTGGTACGCTGGTCATCGGAATCCGTGAAACTCTTGCAAATGTTTAAATGGATGCGTGCAGCGCTAATGCGAGAGCCAATTTGTGAAAAGGAACCGCCCTCACTCCGCGAAGCTCTTGCACATGTTTGCAAACAACGAATAAAACGCGGCGCTAGGGCGAGAGCCACATTTTGAAAACGGCCTGCTCTCAATCCGTGAAACTCTTGCGATGTTTTAGTACGAATGTGCGTGGCGCTAAAGCGAGAGCCACATTTTGAGAAAACGGCCCGCCCTCCATCCGTGAAACTGTTGCCACTGTTTAAGCTTCAGGGTCATAAGTGGTAAGGAAGTCTCAGGCGAAACGCCCGGGCCGCCCTAAAAACGGGAGGAGCAGGAGAGGAAGAGAGGAGGAGGAGGAGGAGGAGGAGGAGCAGGAGCAGGAGGAGGAGGAGGAGGGGCCTTCTTACGCAATCTCGGAGGCTTTCAGGCTTGAAAAACAAAGCTTCCGACCCGCCCAACCTGCGCACCGCCGCCGCTACATCCTCAAGTCCACCCTGCAACCCGAGTGTCCCGGCCCCCGCAACGCCTTTCACTACCTACTGCCGCCCACTTTACGTAATGCGGCAGCCAGATCTCTAGGACCACAAAGTGTCCCGAGTGTCCCACCCCCTGCCAGCCTTGCATTCCAACTTCTACTACGACAGCAACGATTGTCCGTACTACTACTGCTACTGCTACTAGTACCACTACTGCCACAGCTAGAACAAAACATCATTGCAGATGGTGCTATCGAAGAGGACATAACATCATGTGACACAACGTGCTCTGACATTATATGGTATATAAGCATTGTACAAGCCGTTAGATCCGACGTCGTGACGTCGCCAACAAATCAAGGTTCAGCGAGAAATCGCGACGGGAGCCCTGGACCCCATCTTCCTGCGTCCCTGTTCGAGCCGGATCGATCCGTGAGGGTCCCGGAGGGAGGGAGGGAGGGAGGGAGGGAGGGAGGAGGGAGGGAGGGAGGGAGGGAGGGAGGGGGGAGGAGGGAGGGAGGGAGGGGAGGAGGAGGGAGGAGGAGAGGAGGCGAAAACGCCCGTTGTGGCAAGAATTGCAACGCCCGGATCTCGGGGAGAGTGCCGCACGGACGCGCCACAAGAGGCGAGCTGTTGTTGGCACCCCGCGCGCGCGCGCCGCGCGCCGACCCCCCGCGAGGGGCGTCGAGGAAGTGCTGCCCTCCGGGTGCCTTGGGCTTCCTCCCGGGTGCACGGCCAGCCCTGGCGGGGGAGGGAGGGGACACAGCGGGTGGAGGGAGGAGGAGGCTGGGGAGGAGGGGGAAGGGGAGGAGGAGGAAGAGGAGGAGGAGGAGGAGGAGGAGGAGGAGGAAGAGGAAGAGGAAGAGGAAGAGGAAAAGAACGCCACATGTAGTTACTACCTAAGGTTCTTTCAACGTGAAAGGAGGAGGAGGAGGAGGAGGAGGAGAGGAGGAGGAGGAGGAGGGAGGAGGGAGGAGGAGGAGGAGGGAGGAGGGAGGAGGGAGGAGGGAGGAGAGAGGAGGGAGGAGGGAGGAGGGAGGAGGGAGGAGGAAGAGGAGGGAGGAGGAAGAGGAGGGCGGAGGGAGGAGTCAAGAATGCACCCTGCGCGCGGATCCTCCTCCGTGGCGGACCTCCTGCGGCGCGCTCCCGCGGCCCCGCGCCCGCACGTGCAGCGACTCGGCGCCGGCCCGCCCCAGGCTCGAGAGCCTCTTCGGGCAGGACATCTTCTCCGGCGAAGGAGCCCACGGCGGGGGCATCATCCAGATCGACGGCGCGGCACCCTCGCAGTACCGCAGCGGCCTCGACGAGCTGCGGAGAGAGATGGACGGGCTCGGCGGGCCGCAGGGCGGGGCGCAGGACCTCGGGGCGCTGTCTAAGTCGGGCGTGTCTCTCTACAGGAGGGAAATTTGAGCATAGTATTAAAACATACTCTGGGGACGATGCTTTGACTAGATGTTCAGCTGTTTTCTTGTACGTTTACCATCTCTTTAATTTGTCATCCAAAATCCGCCTGTAGGGGAACATGCCCGACCTAAGCCTGGCCCCTTTTCCCCTTGCCCGCCCGCCCCGCCACGCCTTGCCTCCGGCTTCTCCCCTTCTCGTCCCCTTCCGCCAGGCAGCACAGCCTGCCCGGGACCGGCGTGGCGGCGTGTAGGGCTTCAGCCGACGGCAGACGCATCGGGGGATACCAGCGGCTTGTATGCTTTGGTGGTGCCCCACGACGGGCGCGCAGCCGAGGCGCTGAGGGAGTGGGGCCGTTTGGGCCCAGGAGGGGCGGGGGCGGATCTCTGGTTCTCGGGCCACTCCTCCGGATCCAGCTCGGGGCGGGGGGGCCGCTTCGTGGCCCAGGCCTGCCGTGGCCAGAGGAGCCCGCTCGCCCCTGCGCCTTCTGAGGAGAAGGAGCGTGCCTCTCGTGCTTTACACTGGAGGCCCGTGCCAAGAAACACCCTGCTTGCCTCCAGGGTGCCCTGGGTTTCTTGGGTTTCGATGGTTTTGCTCTGGAGAGCGCGACGCCCCCACACCGAAAGTCCATTGGCGCCCTGGGGTCCCAGGGTTGGATTTCTTGTGGACGGTCTCTCGTGGACTGGCTGGCCTCCACTGCACTGAGCACTACGGTCGGGAATTTGTGGGTAGCGTGTCGCTCCGCTGGCTCTGGCCTACCACGTTTCGGCGGCGCGACACGCGATCCACATCCGAGTCCCAGGCGTCGACGTCCCGAGCCTTTCCCAACGTCCCGCCCCGCGGAGCGGAGCGACACGCCAGCCGCTCGCATGGCGTAGCGTGTCGCCGCGGCGGCACGACATCCGCAAACTCCTGACCACAAGCCCGGTGCTCCTTATATCACCACCCATCAAACCACTCCAACCCAGCCCGAAGGCCCCAATCTGCCCTCCATTTCCAGTGGGGGCGGCGCCGCGGAAAAAAAAAAACAAGAAATGGAACCCCTACCCCCCCCAAACCCGAACTTTGAGTCTTCGGATTGGGGGGTGGTCTGGTAGCCTTTCCCCGTTTTCGGCCTGCTTGGGGCATCCCGGCGGGCCCGCGTCGGCCACGGCGAGGTCACTGCACCTCCCACGCCATCGGGCGCTCCAGAGGGGGCCTCGCCCTCGGAGTTGGCATCTGTTCCTCGGCGGAAGTGCGGCGGAAGGCGGCGCAAAGAAAGGCTCCCAAGAGGCCCCCCAAGAGGCCCCCAAGAGGCACCAACACTGCCCCCGAGAGGCCCCCGAGAGCGCTCCGAAGAGACCCCCAGAAGCGCCCGTGAGAATTCTGACCCACAACCCAGGCACGGTGGCGGGATGGGCCAAAGGCCATTCGATCCGCCGCCCCCCTGTGGTCTTGCCACAGGGGTCCCCGGCGTGCGACATTTAAGTCGGGCCTGTCCCTCTACAGGAGGAATATTCAAAAATAATCAAAAAATAGTCTGGGGGCTATTTTTTGAGACCATGTTGGAGTATTCTTTGAATTTTGTTTATTTTTCGTCGAAAATCCCCCTGTAGGGGGACACGCCCGACTTAATGCTACATCCTATTGGTTCGGTGCCGGCTTTGTGTCAAGAGCTCCCCCCTGGGGGCTCCAGCCCAGTGCGCCGGCCACGCGGAAGGCCCCCCAACGAGCACAACGTCACAACACATGTCCATGAGGGCACAAAAGGTGGCTTCTAAGACGGGCACGTAGGCCCAAGATGGCCCCCAGGATGGCCCAAGATGGTCCGAGTTGCCTCCAGGTCCGCCGAAGAAACCACCAAGACGGAGCAAGATGGCTCCAAGAGGCCTCCGAGTCCGCCCAAGGAGCCTCCAAGATGGCCCAAGACGGCCCAAGAGGCTCCCAAGACGCCCCCAAGACGTTCTCCAGGAGGGTCCGAAGAGGCCAAAATCATGGGATCGGTTTCTCCGGGTTTGGGGGAAGATTTTGGCATTTGCTGTTCGGCCTTCCGACAGCCCCAGACTGCCCAAGAGGCCCCCGAGATCGCCCCAAGATTGTTCAAAAGGCCTTCAAGATGACTTCATGACGGCCCGAGAAGCCTCCAAGATGGCCCCAAGAGGCCTCCAAGACGCCCAAGATGAACTCCAAGACGGCCCTGGAGCACCCCAAGAGGGCCCCAAGTCGGCCGCGGCCCCCAAGACGGTTTCCAAGGGCGTCAGACGGGCCAGGGGGCCATCAGGATAGCCCAAAGATGGCTCCAAGATGGCCCAAGACGACCCAAGAGGTCTCCAAGACGGCCCAAGAGGACTACAAGAGGGCCTCCAGGCAGGCCCGAAGAGGCCAAAGCCACTGATTTGGCATAGGTGTTTGAAGGATGTGGGCATTTGCTTCTTTTCGGCCTTCCGACGGCCCGAGACGGTCCAAGAGTCCCCAAAGATCGCCCCAGGATCGTCCAAGAGGCCTCCAAGATGGCCCCAGAACGCCCCAAGAGGCCCCCAAGACGGCCCCAAGGAACAACAAGACGGCCCAAGAGGCCTCCAAGACGCCCAAGATTGCTTCAAGACACCCCAAGAGGGCCCCAAGTTGGCCCAGAGAGGCCCCCAAGACGGCTTTCGACGGCGTCAGACAGGCACGGCCCAAGATGGCCAAAGATACCTCCTCCCAGTCCACCCGAAAAGCCTCACAGACGGCCCAAGACGGCTCAGAAGGCCTCCAAGACGTCCTCCAGGAGGGCCCGAGAAGGCTCAACTCATTGATTTACTTTAGTTGTTTGAAGGATTTTGCCCTTTGATTCTTTTCAGCCTTCCGATAACCAAAAACGGCCCAAGAGGCTCCGAAAATTGCCCCTCCAAGACGGCCCCAGGACGGCCCAGGATGCTCCCCAGACGGCTCCGAAAGGGCCCCAAGACGTCCCAAGAGGCCTCCAAGACGCCGAAGATGGCCGTTAAGACGGCCTTGGAGCGCCCCAAGAGGGCCCCAAGTCGGCCTAGAGGGGTCCCCAAGACGGCTTCCGACGGCGTCAGACGGGCTAGGAACGCCGTAAGACAGCCAAAGAGGCCCACCCGAGCCCCAAAAGACCCCCAAGAGAGGCCCTCAAGAGGCCTTCAAGAAGGCTCCCAGGAAGCTCCCAGGAGGCCCCAAGGGTGGCCCCACAGGCTCCCAAGAGGTTTCCTCATCCTTCTTCTCATCCTCCTTCTTCCTTCCTCTCCCCATGCTCCTCTTCCTCCCCCTCGTGTTTCCCGAAGGGCTTCCATAACGGCTGGGGGAACGCATGGTCTAATGGCCAAACTTTGCCCAAACGTTTGGCCACATTGGCGGAGTAGGCGTCTTCGCTGAACATAAAAAAGCTGTCGAGGCTCCGCGCGGATTTCTTGGATCGGCGCTGGCCCCCTGGCGGCGCCTCCGTTGCCGCCCCTGGCGCGCTCTGCGCACCGAGGAGGGGGGCCCGGTGCCGATCCAAGAAGCCTGCGCGGGCCTCCAAACTCAGGAGAGGAAAATTCACACAGACACAATTAATCCTCGATTCCTGCAAAAAATATAGGAAAATATGGGAAATGGGGGGGGAAGACAGAAACCCAGAAAGTATGGGAAAATGTTAGGGAAAGTTTTATTTGTGTGTATTTATTTGTGTGTCCTGGGGCCCCTTCACCAACATGTCTTGCTTATGCCACGTCCTGTTCCCCTGGGAAGGCGGCGGGAGTATGACGAGGGGCGACATCCGCCGGCGGAGACCGGCGGAAGTACAAACTGCGCCCCCACGAGGAGGTGGCGACCTTGCTGGGTTCCAGGCTTCCGGACCCCGCTTTCGATGTGGGCTTGTCAGTCTTGGCGTGACTTCTCGCTGTGGGCTTCCGGGGCCCACGGAGGGTGATGCTCCCGCCTGCTTCTCTTCCTCCAGGCCCTCGGCGCCCAAGGTTGGATCCGCCCCAGACCACTGGCCACAGCGCACCCCGGAAGGGGCTCCAGGGGAGCAGCGGCATCGGCAACTGTCCTGCCGGTGGCGGGGCGTCTGAGAATGGGGTGCTGATGGTTATAGGGGGGGCATCATGGCCGGGCCATGGAATCTCCATGGATTTCATGGCCCCCTCTTCTTCTTCTTTCAGAAGCGGTCGGAGCCTCTGGGGCCGCGCGCTGAAACGGCCTGTCCGTCGGAGGTCCGGGTCCGCCTCGGAGTCCTGGCCAGGGCGCGCCCCTGGAAAAAGGTCCGGGGAGCGGCGGCATCGGTACGGCACGGTCAACCCGCACAGGAAGGAGGAGCGGCTTTCCAGGGTTACCCTTGCGTCCGTCCCCTTCGGCCCTTCCGTGGCCGCTTTCGCTGGCCGCTGTCGCGCTCGCAAAGTGTCGACATGGCCTTCCAAGGCCCTTGCATCCTTACCGCGCATCCTTCTTATACGGGTTGACTGCAGGCCCGCCGAATAAAAATCCGGCTTGCCAGCAGTTGCCCCACGGACGGGTCCTTATCCTCCGACGACCTCGGGACCCGCAGAAGCGCAGGGGCACCTCAGGAAGCTCGGAAGTTGGGTCGGGCCCAACCCAGCTACAAGTGGCGTTACCTTGGTGTTATAGATATCATATAGGCGGCCACAGGATGGGCACCAAATCGTCACCACATTGAGGGCTTGGTGACATCGCCAGGCTGGTGCGAAGAGGCCCAGATTCAAATTGTGTTAGATCAAAAGAGAAAAGGGAGGAGTGGGATGAGGGAGGAGCAATTGGAGGGGGGAGTGAGAGATGGGGGATGGGGAAAGGACGACGAGGGCACGGGGCAGGGGTGCACATACCGGGGCAGATAGCGTCGCATGAATCTCGGAAGCACCGTCGAGATGAAATGCCACTCACCGCGCCGTTGGGTCAAGTCCGGCACTGGATTCGCCGGTGTCGGTGCCTGTGGCGTTCCGCTGGTGCCAGGGGTGTCGGGCCGGCAAAAATATTTTTGCCAGCCCCAGCCGGCGGTCACCGCGGATTTTCGCCAACCCTGTAAAAAATGGGGCCGGCAAAAAATCGGTGGCCTTGTTTGGCACCACGCGGGGGCGGCCGGCACATATATTTTTGCCAGCCCCTCCCCGCTGGCACCATGCGGGGACGGAAACGATGGCGGCGTCCAGGCATCGTTCCTGTTCGGTTGCCCGGGGCTCCGCTGGAGGCCAACCGAGGCATCAGGAGTATCCCAGGGGGTGCAGAAGCATCGGGAACTCAAGGAGTGCATGCTTCAGGCGATCCACAATTAGAACTGCAAGCGCCAGCTCTCACACCAGACCCATGCACGTCCCACTTCTTCCCTCCATCATGGCCCGCGCCTTGGCATGAACATCTGAAGACCAACGCGCGCCTGGCAACTTATGTTTGGTGACCGTCCAGATCTTGCCAGGCATGCGGTGTCACCGCGCTACCCCCCAAGGTATAGCTGGGTTGGGCCCGACCCAACTCGGAAGTCGTCGACACACATGTCCCCTGATTTTTTTTCAGCGGGATGAGACATCGTCAGAGCGAGGGTCCGAATGGTCATTCATTGTCTTTGGGAACGTGGCTGAAATAGGACTCCGTGGCCCGCGTTCATATTGCTTGTTGTTGTTTGCTGTTATCGTCGTCGTCGTCGTTTTCGCTCGCGACCCACAGGAGACCCACAGGATACCCACACCGCGACCCACCCCGCGACCCACCCGCAACCCACCCTCGACCCACCCCGCGCCCGCCCCGCCACGTATCTAGTGGCCTACGGCCCATCCCGCCGCCGTGCTTGGTGGGTTGTGGGTCAAAGGCCTGTTCGATGCATATGAGGGTTTCTTGGGATGCCTCTCGGAAGATCATCGGGTCCACAGGGCGCCCGGGGGAGCAATTAGGGGAACACCTCTGGGGTGGATAGAGCATGAGCAGCGAGCGCGCGTGCTCTGAGTCGAAACAGTGGAGCGGCGCTCTGCTGATGAGAGGAAGAGCAGTGAACGCGCAGATGCTTTGAGGCCAATTAGCAGAGCGGTTCTCTGCTAATCGGAGCCCGAGCAGGATGGGGAACCTTGCATTGAGGTCAATTTGCAGAGCAGCGCTCTGCGACTGAGGGAAATAGCAGCGAGTGAGCATGCTTTTAGTAGAGCGCCACTCTGCGAATTGGAGCCTGAACCGTCTGGGAACGCATGGTCGGCCCTCTATTAATATTTAGAGTGTTGTTTGTGAAGTTTAGAATGCTGGGGAAAACTCCGCATCGTGCCTCGACGCACGGTGGCCAAGCACATACATATATATATATATATATATATATATTGAGCGATGTCTATATGTATATATATATATATATATATATATCGAGTCGAGTGGAACTATATATATATATGTTTCGGTGTATGTACATATATAATTATACCGGATGCATCGATCGATCGATCTATCGATCAATCTAAAGTGTCCCAGGTTCTTGTGGTGGGAATTGTTGCCGTGCGTGTCTGCTGTATGTGTTTTTGTGCCCAGGACGACCTCCTCGACCTGATGGACCAGGCAATGCCGTGAGGGCGTACCGCCGCGCTGGCGCCCCGTCTAGAAGGCAGTCACCGGGTCTCCCCGCCTCTCCTGGAGTGGCAGGAGTGGCCACTCGCCATGAAGAAAAGGGGCCCGGAAGGGAGGGGATCCCGACCTGATTATGTTCGCCAATCTCCGCCTCTCTAGGCTTCTCCGGCGGGGCCCGAGCAGCTGGGAGGGATGTGGCGCGATGTGGAGCAAGGCTGTTCGCCAGTCTCCGCCTCTCGAGGCTTTTCTGGCGGGGATCCGATGTGGCGCGATGCGGAGAACCATTCTCTCCATGCCGACGTCGCGGATGCGGCACTCGGACCCCCTTTTGGGGATGCCTCGAGTCTATCGGGGCCCGCCTCCGCGCCCCCGGGGGCCGCCGGCAGAACGCACGCAGCGTGGCGGGATCCATCCTTAGGGTTAAGTCGGGCGTGTCCTCCCACGGGAGGAATATTCAATAGTCAGACGACGATTGTTCGACTATTTTTGAACCTGTTTGGATTATTGTTGGAGCATCCTCTTGCACAAGGTGTCTAGAGCTCCGACCATTTTATTCCGCGTCGCGACGCACACCCACATCCCCCTCCTCCCCCGTGGGAGCCCCGCCCACAGCCCCCTCCGGCCCGAGCATTTTATACCGCTTCGCGACGCACACGCCCACAGCCCCCTCCGCCCCGAGCAGTTCATTCCGCGTCGCGAAGCACACCACCTGCCCCCCCCTCTTCCCCCCGCATCCCCAGCGCCCCAGTGGGACCCCCGCCCCGTGGCCCTTCCCCCCCCCTGCATCCCCAGCGCCCCAGTGGGGCCCCCGCCCCGTGCCCCCTTCCGCCCCGTGCATTTTATTCCGGGTCGCGACGCACACCACCTCCTCCTCCCCCCCCCCCCCCGCGTCCACAGCGCCCCAGTGGGACCCCCGCCCCGTGGCACTCTGCTCCGAGCCCCGCCCAGTGCCTCCGCGCCGACCACTTTATTCCGCGTCGCGAAGCACACCCCCCCCCTCTTCCCCCCAGGTCCCCAGCGCTTCAGTAGGAGCCCAGCCCCGTGCCCCCTCCGCCACGACAACTTCGTTCCGTGTCGCGACGCACCCCCCCCTTTTCCCTGCTGCATCCCCAGCGCCCCCGTCGGAGCCCCGCCCACAGCCCCCTCCGCCCCGAGCAATTTATTCCGCGTCGCGGCGCACACCACCTGCCCCCCCTCTTCCCCCCGCATCCCCAGCGCCCCAGGGGATCCCCGCCCCGACCACTTTATTCCGCGTCGCGACGCACACCACCCCCTCCGCCACGACCACTTTATTCCGCGTCGCGACGCACACCACCTGCTCCTACGCACACCACCTCCCCCCCCCACCCCCCCTGCATCCCAGTGGGACCCCCGCCCCGTCGCCCTCCGCCCCGACCATGTTATTCCGCGTCGCGACGAACCTCCCCCCCCCCCTCCGTCCCCAGCGCCTCGGAACCCCCGCCCCGTGGCCCTCTGCCCCGAGCCCCGCCCAGTGCCCCCTCCGCCACACCATCTCCCACCCCTCCCCCCAGGTCCCCAGCGCTTCAGTAGGAGCCCAGCCCCGTGCCCCCTCCGCCACGACAATTTCATTCAGTTTCGACGACCCCCCCCCTTCCCCTGATGCATCCCCAGCGCCCCCGTCGGAGCCCCGCCCACAGCCCCCTCCGCCCCGAGCAATTTATTCCGCGTCGCGACGCACACCACCTGCCCCCCCTTTTTTTCCCCCGCCGCCCTACCGCCCCAGGCGACGCACACCACTTCCCCCCCTCCCCCCCTCGCGTCCCCAGCGCCTCAGTGGAACCCCCGCCCCGTGGCCCTCTGCCCTGAGCCCCGCCCAGTGCCCCCCCCGTCCGACAATTTTATTCCGCGTCGCGACGCACACCATCTCCCACCCCTCCCCCCAGGTCCCCAGCGCTTCAGTAGGAGCCCAGCCCCGTGCCCCCTCCGCCACGACAATTTCATTCAGTTTCGCGACGCACCCCCCCTTTTCCCTGCTGCATCCCCGGCGCCCCCGTCGGAGCCCCGCCCACAGCCCCGTCCGCCCCGACCATTTTATTCCGCGTCGCGACGCACGCCACTTGCCCCCCCTTTTTTTCCCCCGCCCCCCTACCGCCCCAGTGGGACCCCCACCCCGAGCCCCCTCCGCCCCGACCACTTTATTCCGCGTCGCGACGCACACCACCACCTCCGCCACGACCACTTTATTCCGCGTCTCGCCCCGCCCACTGCCCCCTCCGCCACGAAAGTTTTATTCCACGTCGCACACCCCCCTCCCCCGCGTCCCCGGCGCCAGAGTGGGACCCCCGCGCCGTGGCTCTCTGCCCCGAGCCCCCCCGCGCCCCCAGCGCCCCAACGGGAGTCCCGCACACTGCCCCCTCCGCCACGATCGCTTCATTCCGCGTCGGACACACCCCTCCCCCGCGCCCCCGGCGCCAGAGTGGGACCCCCGCGCCGTGGCTCTCTGCTCCGAGCCCCCCCGCGTCCCCAGCGCCCCAGCGGGAGCCCCGCCCACTGCCCCTTCCGCCACGAACGCTCTCTTCCGCGTCGCGACGCACACCGCCTTCCCCACCTCCCTCCCCGCGTCTCCAGCGCCACAGCGGGGGCTCCGCCCCGTGCCCCCTCCGCCCCGACAATTTTATTCCGCGTCGCGACGCACGCCACCTCCCCCCCTCCCCCCCCGTCCCCAGCGCCCCAGTTGGACCCCCGCCCCGTGGCCCTCTGCCCCAAGCCCCGCCCGCCCCCTCCGCCCCCAGTCGGCCCCGCCCAGTGCCCTCTCCGCCCCGACAACTTTATTCCGCGACCTCCCCCCCCTCCCCCTCCGCGCCCCCAGCGCCCCAACGGGACCTCCGCCCCGTGCCCCCTCCGCTCCGAACATTTTGTTCCGCGTCGCGACGCATGCCACCTCCCCCCTCCTTTCCCACTTGGGATTCGGGCCCCGTTGATGGGCCCCGAGGGGTGATGTCTTGCCCCCTCTTCCCCCCTCCTCCTCCACCTCCTCCTCCTCCTCCCCTTTTTTTTGTGCAAGAGCCATGGCACACGTGCCACTTGTTTTTCTTATTTATCATTCAAAATCCGCCTGTAGGGGGACATGCCCGACCTAAGCTTAGGGAATGGACAGCAACACTCGCGAGGAGACAGGCCCACGTTTTACATTTCGGCCGGCTGGCTCAATTCAGCGAGGGCGTTCGCGGGATGCGCCAAGGTGATCACCAAAGAGCGTGTGCCGATGGGGGGGGGCAACCAACAGACGGTTGACGAATGCCAGACAAAAAGGCGTCACGACAGCCACATGCACAAGCACAGCAGGAGATGCCTCCAGGGACGGCCCGGAGACAGTGCGGCTGCAGGGTGGCCAAACTGTGTCAGGAAAACGGCCAGGAGAAATATCCACACACACACAAACACACACTCACACACTCACAAACACACACACACACATAGACACACACAAACACGTATGCGCGCGCGTTCGTGTATAACTAACAAAATGTTTCAATAACCCTTTGCAAAAAAAAAATGAACACACGCGCGTCGTCGCGCGCATGCCGAATTCTTTCAACAACCTGGAGTCCTTCAGTTTCAACCTTTCACCAAATTCCACGAAACGGGTTTGTCACGCGCGCGTGTCGACGTCACGTCATTCGTACGCCCTTGCGCGCGTGCTGAGGGGGTGCACGATCCCTGTCAAACAAGACCATGCGGGCCACTCGCGCCCGCCAGCCGCGCGCGCATGTCGAAATGCTTCCAAAAAATCATCACCGACGCGTGGACACCATCATCGTCACCGGCGTGATCAGCATCGGCGCCGCCAGTGGCCTTGCCGTCGTCATCGTCATCGTCATCGTCGTCGCCAGCATCGCTACAATCATCATCTTGTTTGCAGTTGTCGACGTCGTCATGATATTGCCCCCGCCCAGTTCCCCGACTCGCACTGAAGTGCCCGCGCGGCAGCGTGGCCTGCAAGACGCGCTGGGAATTCCCCAGCGGTCAGCGCCGCCGCGGTGGCGTCCGTCGGGCCAGACTAACTGGCCGCTCTGCGCTCGAGCCTGCGAGCGCTGGCGCGGCTGCAGCGACGCGCCAGCCAGCGCCAAGCAAGCATCGCAATCGCCGCCGCATGGGTTTTGCAAGCCTAGTTGCGGGTGGGTGGGTGAGTTGGTTAAGTTCGGCGGGGCGACTTGCACCACGTAGGTAGGACCACATAGGCTGCACCACATACAATGCACCACACAGGTTGCACCACATATAATGCACAACCTAACTTTTCTTTGTTAAAAAGAAGATAGGTTATATCACCCTTCCCCCCCCCCCGAACTTATCGATTCCCCGGGGACCGATGCAAAACACATGATTCTGACCGAGTGTCCATCCGACGTTTGAATTCATTATGTCCCAGCCAAGCCGGTATCGGTCCCCCCCAGTCCCCTTGCACAAAAATGCTATGCGCGCGCTCGTCTATCAAAACTCATAAGTGTTCATGAATCCTTTGCCAAACAAATATGGCGAAGTGCACACGCGCACGTCGTCGCGTGCGCATGCCGAAATCTTTCAAAAACTCGTGGTCCCGGAATGATTTCAAAATCGCGAGTCCAAAACAAAGGGTTCGCAACACGGATGTTCAACAACAGCGCGCGCGCGTTCTCATTCGAATTCTTAAGAAAACAATGTTTTACAGTATTTCCATAACATGCTACCCATCGGGCTTCGCGCGCGCATGTCGAAAGCGTTCGAACGTTCTTGCGCGCGTGCTGGGGTGGCACGATCCGTGTCAAATAAAAACATGCGAGCAATTCTCGCGCGTCTGCCGCGCGCGCATTTGGAATTGCGTCCAAAACCTGCATCACCGACGCGAAGATCGTCGTCGGCGTGATCAGCATCGGCGCCGTCATTGGCTGCCCCGTCGTCGCTGACAGCATGGCCACCAGCATCGTTATCACCATCATGTCTACCATGATACCGCGCCCGCCCAACTCGCCGTCTCGCACAGAATTGCCCGCTGGGATGTGCCGAGCGGTCAGCGCCACCGCGTTCGCGTCGGTCGCGCCAAACTAGCTGGCCGCTGCGCGCGCGAGCATGCGCGTGCTAGCGCGGCCGCGGAGATGCACCTGCCAACACCCAGCGCTCATCGCAACCGGTCCCGCATGGGCTTTGCTAACCAATTCGCGGGTGGGTGGGTGGGATGATTGCTCGAGCTGTGGAGTTGACAAGTTCAAGTTCGGCAGCTGAATTTCACAGCAAAAGGTTGCACCATGTAGGTTGCACCACACAGCTTGCACCTCATGGCTTGAACCACGTAGAATACATCACCTAAGTTTTCGGACATCATGTATGCTTGCAACCATTCGGGGGGGGCCCACACAGGCTAACATCTGGCGCTCCTCATGGCAGTTCGCAGGACGGCTGGAGTTTTTCCCGGGCCGGGGCCGCAGGAGACCCGTTTCAGGCCCGGGGGGCAGGCAACAAAGAGGGGGTCGAGTGCTCCAGAGCCCACATCCTGAGGAGCTTACGGGCGGCTCTTTGGGCGTGGGTTTTTTTCCGTCCGCTTGGGCGGACCTCGGGGGCCGTTCCTGGGCGATCTCAGGATCTCGCGGGCCTGTCTTTCAAATGTTCAGATCACATGGGAGGTTGTCAGAAAGTTCCGTTGGATGAGGTCGGTTTCGCTAGGCCTGAGGCCGCCCCAGCCCTACATGAACCCCCCAGCTCGACCAGAGGCACCCCAGCAGCCGTCGAAATCTCCCTTCTTGAAACAGACGTTTTCAACGTTTCCGATCGCACACACACACAACACACACACACGCAACCTGCAGTTGCTTTATGTTGCTGGCATCTTGGACCAGCCCCCCGGTTCTCCAAGACGGCCGAAGAGGCCTGCAAGAGGCCTCCAGGAAGGGCCTTGTCACCATTCCATGCCATGTTGGACGTGTGGATTCCAAACCACGCTCCCGAGGTATTCGGAAAAGTCACGCGAGGGAACAAAAAACATGACTAAGCCTCTCCCGTGACGTCGGCGTCTGGGTCCCTGAAAGGGCATGCGTAATAATCAGCACAGAATTTTCGAAGGGACCCAGGGACATCCCGCTTAGTGCCTACAGCACGGCGGCTGATGTTCAATACTACGGGGCCTGAGAGCACTCCACTCAGTGCCAACGCCACATGTGCGGATAAAAAGAAGTCCCCTCGACCACTGGCAGATTCGGAAATTTTCCGCTGAACCCTGGGAATTGTTCTGGGACGGCGCTAAGAGCATGTGCGGGCGAAGCGGAGATGGGGAGGAAGCTGGAAGCCCCTTGAGCCACCTAAAGCTCACATTTGACCTCCTCCTCCTCCTCCTCCTCCTCCTCCTCCTCCTCCTCCTCCTCCTCCTCCTCCTCCTCCTCCTCCTCCTCCTCCTCCTCCTCCTCCCTCCTCCTAACTCATGGAAATGCACACAACACAGACACACGTTCCGTCGTCGGCCTGGTGATGGCATCGCAGCGAGTGCGGCGGGTTCGCGTCGTGTGTCGACCGGCGGCGACCCCGCCGCTGGCGTTCAACGTTGAACGCCGCCAGCGACTCAGAACCGGTAGATGTTGCACGATTTGACGGTTCGGAAACGGCCGATCGTTCAAGGTTGAACGATCCGCACGGTGTCAGAGACCAACGCCGAAGTCGGCACGAGGCGAATTTGCCGTAACCTAGGGCGGGCCACGCCTGGTTCAATTATTACTTGGCGTCGCAGCTGGGTGGTCGGGCACGTATCCAGGCGCTTCCAGAAATAGCGGAACCTGTGGGTGCACGTGGAAAATGCCGGAAGGCCATGCAGGTGCTATGATGCACGGACGCCGGACAAGGATGCAGGAAGAGCATCGTGCACGCGACCCCCGCCACAGCCCGGTTGCTCGAGAGAGCGACGCGGCCTTGGCGATCGATGCAACAAGTTGTCCACAGCAAGGGGTTAAAAGCAGCCGGCGTCCCCATTGTGATGAACACGATTCGTGAAAGCGGGCGATGCACACACACACACACACACATACACACACACACACACGCACACACCCACGCACACCCACACACACACACACACACACACACGTACACCCACGCACACACGCACACACACACACACACACACGCCAACACACACAACCTGGAATCTTCGAACCTCGACCCTCCTCGCAAGCGCTTGCTGCCGATGCAGGGCCGGCAGGAGACTCAGTGTGCGCCGGCCCGCTCTGGGCTGGCCCCTGACGCCGCGGCGCCATGGAGGCGACGCCGCATTCTTCCCTTTGAGAGAGGCATCTGAACAGATTGATCTGGCACCGGGTCGCAGCAGCAGGAATAGCAAGGATCGAGGGCTGAGGTTCGAGGATCGAGGTTTAGACTCCAGCTGCAAGTGTGGCTGGCTTCCGGTATTGGCAGTGCCCAACACAGCTGAGAATGAGAAGACGAAGATAGTCATGGTACGCAGCAGCTGTTCTGGCTTGAGTGTGTTTTGTTTTTTGCAGCCACCTACGCCGTAAAGGGATGGTGTGATTCAGGCCTCGGAACAAATTAGCGAACACTCATGCCACGTTCAGCCGTCAACGCCTCCCCCTCCCCCCAATGTTCAAAGTTGGCGGTGGATAAGATGAGATGCACTTCGACCGCAGTGTCTCCCGCGCGTGCCAACATTGAGTTTGGGGGGAGGGGGAGTATTCATTAATTGCTTCCCTCTAACGTTCAACCTCGGTCCCAGTATTTCTTCTGCTCAAAGGGACCCAGTCAGCGGATTCGGGTGGATTCGGTTGCGTCCATGCGCAGCCCTTTTGGCCTAAGTACTTTTTCTAGCCGCCGACCTGATCCGCGAGCACTGCCACCCAGATCGCTATCCGCCATCAGATGCCAGGCTTCGACTCGCCACCCGTGACCTCGGCGGTGGAGCGCGCGGAGCTCGCGGAGGAGGCCGGCGGCCGCGCGAGCGTCTCCGCGCAGGCCTCGGAGTCGAGCGGGTCGGACACGAGCGCGTCGGAGGGCCTTCGCGCCCAGCGCGCGCCCTGGCGGGCGGCGGGCAGCGCAGCCGTGGCTGCTCTGCTGCTGGCCGGCGCGGGCGCGGGGGCGGCGCGCCTGGCGCGGCGCGGGGCGGCCTCGGGCACAGGCCGCCTCCAGAGCAAGGAGCAGACGCTGGCGCTGCCCTCTCGCGACAAGTGCGCGGCCTCGGACGAGGACCTCGCGCGCAAGGGGTGGGCGCACGAACAACACACACACACAACAAAAACACACACACACACACACACGCACACACACGCACACACACACACACACACACGCACACACACACACATCCATACCGAGGGGGGTCGGAGGGAGGAGGGCTGGGAATGGGTGTGGGCGCGGGTTGTCGGACCCCGGGGGGGGCCCCGTTCGAGCGGGGACCCCCATCTGACAACACGCACCCATAGCCCCCTCCGACCCCCCTTTGGGTATGGGTTTGTGTGTGCTGTTCGTTCGCCAACTGTGATCCAGAAATCAGGTCGCCGCCTCCCGAAGAAAAGAAATCTGCACCAACATCAGCTTGTTGAGCTCCGCGCGGATTTCTTGGCGTCGCGCTGGGACCCCCTAGCGGCGCCTGCAGCGCCGCCCCTGGCGCGCTCCGCGCGGAGAGGGGTCCAGCGCAGATCCAAGACAGCCGCGCGGCACCTGGAAGTGTAGCTGGTGCTTGTCCTGATTCTTCCAGCGTCCTCACCCTCCGCTTCTGCCACCTCCTCCGTCCTCCTCCACATCGGGGTGGCGATCCCGTTTGGGATTTTCTTTGCGTGTTGCTTCGAACGAGGATTGTTACAGCTCGGGGTGCTGCAACGTGGCAGGCATGAAATGCTACGAGACGAAGCCGGGGAAGGGCAAGTGCGCGATGAATTGCACTCCCAGCGCCTCCCAGCTGTGCATTCAGACGCAGCCCATCATGGACCAGATCCTCACGGATGGCGATTGGTACAGCCCCTCGATGTACTGCTTCGCAGTGGTCATGCAGGACATCGGCAGCACAAAGAAGTATTATGACTTGGAACTGCTCCAGGGAGCGTACACCAGGGGGACCAGCATCTTCGGGTGCGATGCCTGGGGGGTATTCAGCGACCAGGAGGGCTGGGTTGGGCCGGACGCTCCGCTCGTCAAGGCTCGGGAGGGAAACGTATACATTTGTGGAGGACGATCAACGGAGAGGAAGCATGTTGCCAAATGTTTTCCAGATGTCTAGAACATGAGTTAAAACTGTCTTGAATATAGCTATATATAATAATAATAAAATGTGTTCAACATTTTCAGGTCATGTTTCCTACATTTTAATCACAATTTTAATTCGACGATAGGACTGTTAGGGTGTCCATTGTCGTGGCATCCAAAAGTATACACGAACACACATACACGCTGATCTCCGTGAAGTTGCTGAGCTATACAGAAGTTGGAGAGGAGGACCATCCGAAGAACAACATATACACATGTTAACAAATCTTGGAATTCCTGGAATGCGTGTGTGTCGATTTCTGTGTGTGTCGCCCTGGGTCCCTTTAAAGGTGGAGGATGCCGACGGGGACTTCCACTTCGCGAAGAGAGAGGAAACGGGCACCTGGCTGAACACTGGTCTGCACTACCAGGCCTGGAAGGCGATTGGAGAAGCGGGCGTGTACAAGAGCGCCAACTGGGTAGTGAAGGTAGATGCAGACGCGGTCTTCGTGCCGAATCGCCTGGTGTCCTTCCTGTCGAGCCAGTTGGTTCCAGCCACCGGCATTTACCTCGAGAACTGCAAGAAGGTGAAATATGGGTGGTTCGGCAGTTTGGAGATATTCTCGGCAATGGCATTCGAGACACTCTTGGGGTCCATGGCTTCGTGCAAAGACACCCTCGACTGGAAAACGGGTATCGACGGCGGCAAGTACGGCCCGATGGGTGAGGATCTGTTTGCGCAGGTCTGCTTGGATGCGAACGGCGTCCCCCGCGGGGAGGCATTCGGCACCAAGTTGGACGGGACCTGCGAAGCCGACCGGCCAACGGCCGAAAAGAAGAACAAGAAGTGGAAGCCCACGTGCGACAGCGGCCTCTTTGCGGCCTACCACCCGCTGATGAAGCCTGAGGACTACTGGTCCTGCTGGGATGCCACCACCAAGGCGTTCGGCTACTGAGCGGCGGGGGGGCCCGGTGAGGCGGCGCTGCGCCAGGCCCAGCGCCGCGACTGCATGCGTCTCGCGCCCGCTGCTGCTCTGCTCGCGGCTGCGCGCCAGGACGTGTTGGGATGCCGCCGCCGAGGCATTCGGCCATCCGGCTGCAGGGAGAGCGCGGCGAGGCTGCGCCGCGCCGCTCCCCCCCGCAGCGCAGCGCCTCGGGCGCCCCTGCGCCCACTGCCTTGGCCGGCCGCGCAACGCGAATGGAAGGGCACGGGCTCGTGCAGCGCACGGAAGAGGAAGCGTCCACGGCGCACCAAACGGGGGGCGGGGCTCTATAGACCTACTGCATGGGGTCGGAGGGGACGGGGCCCGAGGATCGCGCCGCATCGCCGCTGCATCGCCGATGCGGCTCGATGTGCAGCCCGATGTGCGTCACGTCGACGTCGCCGATGCACCGCCGACGTCGACGCTGCATCGCCAATGCATCGCCGATGGATTGGCGATGTATCGCGACCATCCCACCCCAGCTACTCCGACCCCATCTGGAAGAGCTTCTAGGGACGTGGTTCCCTGCTGCCAGGCCGTCCCGCAGGTTCCCTTTTTTCTGTGGTGGCCACGGCTGGGCGCGGCTCGACAAGCGGGCCAGGAGGCATCCCGAGAAGGAGGAGGAGAAGAAGGAGGAGGAGGAGGAGGAGAGGGCGAGGGGGGTAGGATGCCTCCACCCACACTTGGGCCGAGAGCAGGAGGAGGAGGAGGTCGGTGTGGAACTGATTTTGTGTCTGGGGTGGGGCGTGCAGGGTCTTCCTGGTCCGAGCGTGCCCCGCCGCCCGCGGCAGCCCATCGCCCGGAGCTCGTCGCCCGCTTCCGTCTCCCGCCGCGTGCCCAGCTCGCCACGGAGGCACCCCACCGCTCGGTGTCGCTTGAACGATCCCCATCCCCATCTCCATCCCCTTCGAGACCCCCACCAAGGATCTTTGTAGACAGAGGCGTTGCGTTTTACCCCGCCTTCTGATTCTGATTCTGACCCCCACCAGATTCGGAAACCGGAACATGTACATTACCAGCGGCGAGCTGTTTTTCAACCCCGGGGCTTTTTTGAGGGTCTGGGACGACGTCGGGGTGGTATGGTGTATACTTTTTTATCATTTCCCCGGGGAAACAGTGAAAAATGTATACACCAGGGTCCCCTATACGCCAGGATCCGCTGTCCTGCGCGAGTTTCAGTGCGGGGCCAGAAAAAGCGTCGGTGTATAGAGTTCGGCTCCTTACAAATTACCACCCTAGCTGAAGCCCGAAGAAGACGACCTATATCCCCATCTAGGGGGGTAAATCGGCCAGTGGGGTCCAGGCCACGCCGCTGGGGATGGTGATCGGTTGAACGAGACTCAACCGCTGCTTTCTTCGACCGCCTCTTGGGCCCAAGGCGCTGAACAAACAAAAATGCCAGGTTTTGGCGAGGCAGAGGCCTTACAAGAAGACAGGGGGCGGCTTCACTAGTCCCCGAATTCCCCTACCCCTTCCCAAAGGCTCCGAGGAAGGCTTCTTGGCAGGCAGAGGGCGTCTAAGCAGCGGGGCGGCCTTCTCAGAAGGCCGCCCCCCTTGTGCGCGCCGCCGAGATTGGCTCGTAGGCTTTGTAGGCATTTTTCGCGACGCCCTGACCTTCACGCCGCCAGTGCGGCGGCAGTACAAAGATGGCTGTGAGGCAGGGTGGTGCTGCTCTATTGCGCGGGAGACCCCCCTCTTTCCGGCTCGGTACATTGCATGATCGTAGCTGTAGTCAATGGCGAGCCGCCTTCGTTCCCGAGTGCTCTGTACATTCGTGGCGTTCACACGCCCTTTCGCTGCGTCCGCCCAATCGGGCCAACGAGCGCATAGTCATCGTATGAGATCCCCTGCTGTGGATCAGCGTCTGCTTTTCCGTTCAGGCGTTCTGCGGTGCTCTGAGCTTCGTCGATTTGGTCGATCTGTATTGGCGCAGCGAGGACAAACAGATCGGAGGTCAGTACGCGAGGGTTCGGCTGAATCTCCTGCGAGATTGACCCAGTGTGTCTGGATCATTGTACGCTGAATCTGATTGAATATGGTCTTTGTAGGCTCCAAGTCTGCCGCGTGAAGACCTCCGAGGATCCACCTTCTAAGAAGCGAGGCTGGAGGAATGAAAGGACGGACGGAACTGGCTGGGCTACAGTAATATCGCGCCATTGGCGATCGGAGGCGCTCTCGTGAAAACCGATGTAGAGCCCCCTGTTCTTGTTCTCCCACAGCAGAGGCGATGGCTCTAGACGAAGCGGACCAGGCCAGAGAGATGTTTCGGTAGCCACGCGCAGGCTGCCCAGGCTGCCGTCACAGCAGCGGCCTGGGCTTTGTACAGGAGGGGAGGCAGGAAAGGATTGGATTGGGGAGGGACCCTGACGAAGATCTGGGTTGATGGTGATGATGATGATGATGATGACGATGAGGATGAGGATGAGGATGAGGATGAGGATGAGGATGATGATGTTGATGTTGATGTGGATGACTATGATGATAATGAATGTGGTGGCGGTGACTGTAATGGCGCTGATGGTGAAGGTGATGATGATGATGAAGAAGATGATGATGATGATGTATGATGCTGATGTTGATGCTGATGCTGATGATGGTGATGATGCCGATGATGATGCTGATGATGATGATAAGCATCATCAGCATCATCATCGTCATGGTGATGACGATGACGATTACGATGATGAAGACGGTGACGATGGTGATGGTGATGATGATTGTAATGATGCTGACAATGATGGTGATGATGATGATGATGATGATGATGGTGATGATGATGATGATGATGATGATGCTGATGATGATGATGATGATAGTGATGATGTTGATGATAAGCATGATGATGCTGATGATGAGGAGGAGGAGGAAAAGGAGGAGGAGGAGGAGGAGGATGGTGGTGGTGATGATGATGATGATGTTTGGGACCCCGGCGGAGATCCGGGACGACGACGAGGCGCTGCACTCCAGGCGACGCCGCTCTTCGATGGCGAGGCCGCGCTGGCGGCCACCTGGTCGCAGACGGACGACGCCGTGTCCATCACGGTGCCCCTGCCCGCGTGGGCCGCGGGCGCAGCACCAGTCGTCGCGATCCGGCGCCTGGCCGTCGGCCGCTGCGCCGCCGTCGTGGTCGTCGTCCTCGTCCTCCGGCATCCTCTTGTCCTGTTCCCTGTTTACAAGTCGAGTTCGCCAGCAGGGACCACACACAGTGCGTTTCGGGCAACCTGCTGGTGTGGTGCACTATATATATATATATATATATATATATATGTGTGGCGCACTCTGTGCGGAGAAACCCATGTGGTGCAATCTATGTGGTGCAGTCTATGTTGTGCAGTCTCTGTGGTGCAAACTGTGTTGTGCAATCTACGTGGTGCGATCTCTCTGGTGGACTCTATGTGAAGCAAAATTCTGTGGTGCTAATCATCTATGTGGTGCATATTATGCTGTCTCCGAGGGGTCCGATCCGATCCGATATATATATATATATATATATATATGTATATAGGTATACATGTATACATATATTGCCATATATGTGGAGCAATCTACGTGGTGCTCTACAGCAGGAGGTTTCAAAAATGGTCACAGATTAGTTAGTCTGGGGACGACGTCTTTGACTATGTTTGGCTAGTTTTCCATCTCTATTCCAAAATCGGCCTGTAGGAGGACATGCCCGACCTGACGCTGACCGCGTCCCAACTCCCAAGCGTCAACATCCCGAGTCTTTCTGGGCCTCCCGCCCCGCGGAGCGGAGCGACGCGCTGCGCGTTCGCTTGCAGGTGTTTACCGTGCCGCCGTGGCCGCTGCCGCGACACGCGAAGCAAAACAGCCTCCGACCGTGAGCAGGCCGCAGCTGCCACAGCTACCCGGCACAACCGCCCCGAGCAGGGCACCAATACAATTTGCTAGGTAGAAGCGGGCGGGCCTGTGAGCCCCGGAGGTCGCCAGAGGTCGCTGGAGGCCTCCACAGCCCCCCAGAGACTCCAGGAAGAGCCACAAACATTCCCCAAACGACAGAAATATCAGCGACTGTCCGAAATCATCCCGGAAAGGTCCCGAACATTGGGGGAACGTCAATTGAGCGCCTCACCGATCTTGCCCAGGCCCATCCCGAGACCAGGACCGAATCCTCCTGGAGGGTCGAGGTGCGAGGATTGAGGGTAGAGGTTTCTGAATGCTCGAGCCCAATTCTGGCCCCTGGGGCCCGACAGAGACCCTTTAGGTCCTGGAGGGGCTTCAAGAGATTTCCAGGGAGGGAGGACGGAGAGTAAGACGAGGAGTAAGAACCAGGTGCTACCAGCTCGTTTTGCGTTTCCGAGCTCTTCGGCTACGGGCCGTCAACCGGCCGGCTTATAAAGGCAAGGACGCGAGCATCTATTTTGTCCATTGTATAGGAGGAGGAGGAGGAGAAGGAAGAAGAGGAAGAGGAGGTGGAGGTGGAGGAGGAAGACGACGAGAATGAGGAGGATCACAGCAGAACCAAGATGCATCAGCGATGCTGCATCAGTGATGAGCAGACCCAAGATGTGTTAGCAAGCCCGAGGTGCACCCGATCCCAGGCCCCATTCTTCCAGTTCGCGCGCTCTTGCAAGCCATTCATTTCATTACTAGGAAATGCTCCCCTTGAAAGACCAGCACGGCATGGGCCTGCCATTCAGGCAAGAACCCCATCTTGAAAACGAGCTGCATTGCATCCCGTTACCCGTAGCGACAGGAGGACGTACACGTACATGAATCAACATTGGTTTCGAGAGTATGCATTGCGCGAATGTTCGTGTCACGCGGACGTTCTCGCGGATCGAGGGGCCGTGTTCATGTACATGGTTTGGCGCGTACGTCCTTTGTGGGCTCCCTATCTTAGCGCATAATCAACGAGGTCTTGCGGGATCAGCACGAGTATGGCTTTGGCATGGTCACACGGTTCAACGAGGTGTTTAGCGGGATCCCCGTTTTGAAAAAGGACCGCGCCCATCCGTTACGATCATGAGCTTCGAGGACATTTTCAAGCGAGAGCCCTGCAGTCAACCCACATAGTCAGGATGAACAGTTTCCAGGGTTACCCCCCGTGTCCTTCCCCTTCGGCCCATCCTTGGCCGCTTTCTCTGGCCGCCCCCCGCCCGCAAAGTGTCGACATGGCCTTCAAAGACCCTTGCATCCTTACCGTGAGTCCTTCTTATACGGTTTGACTTCATTCTGAAAAGGAGCCGTCCTCCACGCCTGCATCTTGCGAAGTCCAAGTTTCAGCATCATGATTGGTGAGGAAGTCCCGCGCGAAACGCGTGCATTGTTGGTCTCCCTGGGCACCGTCGCGTCTGCCAGCGCCTTGGACCAGAGCCTCTCGGCTTCCTTCCTCCTGGCGGCCATGCGCGCAGCTCCGGTCTGGCCAACACCCCCTCGGAGGGGGGGAGGAGGACGGAGGAAGGCGTCGGACGCGGCTGGGACGAGGATCCATCCGCTCCAGAGCGTGGACGCTCTCAGGGCCTTCCGGAGCGCCACGAGAAGGCCGCGGCGCCGGAGACACCCTCCAGAGCCGCCGGATCTCAGAGATTCTCGATTCGTCCTCGTCCACTGTTATCCTCGTCCTGGCGGAGGAGGGCGAGGATGGAGGAGGGCGAGGACGAGGATGGAGGAGGGCGAGGATGGAGGAGGGCGAGGACGGAGGGTAGCGCGTCCCGCAAGCTGGTCTCTGCGCCCGCCCCACCCGGTGCGGTGCGGCTGGCCGCAGGGCCAGCGTGCCCCTCGGAGGGGGCGGGAGACCTTTCGGGTGTTGCTGGAGGTTGGGAGGTTGATCGGCCTCCTACCCTGACACGTCGATCAAGGAATTGGCCGATTTCGGTTCGCGAGAGGGCGTCGCGGCCGTCGTTGTTGCGGGTCCAGGTCCGTCGGCTTCGGTCCCAGGCCGTTTTCACTAAGGGGAGGTTTACTAAAGGGAGGTTTGTCCACCGCCGAGAGGTGTCCCTGGCCCCAAGTGCCCCCGGGATTGCCAAAGGAAGCCCCCACGGCCTCCACAGCACCCCTCGCGAGGCCCAGAGGACCCCAGGGGCTCCGAAGTTGAGCGGCAAGCTGGGAGCACCTCGGGCCAGGGGTACCTTGAGCAACCCCCGGGCCTTGCCGAATCCTCCTCGATCTCCAGGCAGCTCTCGAACAAGATATATCGGCACGAGCAGATAACTTCGCAGGCACTCGCGGATGTCTTCGATCGGCGCTGCACCCGTCTGCAGGCGCCGCTGACGCTGCCCCTGGCGCGCTCCGTGCGCCAGGGAGGGGCTTCCGCGCCGATCCAAGAAATGCGCGCGGACCTGACAAGGTCGATCCCTTTGTCGTTTCTCTTCGTCCGCCTCTACGCGTGCGGCGTTCCAGGAAAGGGCCTCGCCTTCGAGGGCCGAGGGAGGCGCCGCCTCCTCCTCGGTGGAAGGCGGCGGAAGTAAAACGAGGCCGCCTCCACCGGCAGAAGGCTGGGGGAAGCTGGCGGGTGCAAAAATCTGCCTTCCAAGATTGACGGCATTTGTTTGATGTTCAA